CTGCGGCTCCATTTCGCGCAGCGTATTAGGAATCTAAATGTTGACTGAAGACAGTTTGATTCTCTGTCTGTGATTTTCTTAAGGAATAAAAACAGTGTGGCGTGTTTACACTGTAAGCCATGAAAGAGCTATGAGAAGGCTCATCACTACCCGATGCCATTTTGGGAGGCGGAAAAGTGAGGTTCATACCACGGTTCATTTGAAAAGCCATTTCAAACAGAGAATGTTTAAGACCGAGATCAAAGCTGTTTCTAGGCAAAAAATATCACTAGACCAGCTACATTCTTGTAAAATGGTTACTTTATGCTAGCAGTTATTTCAACAACGTCTGGCTATTATTGGAAATCAGACAGAAAGAGAAATATCTACAAATCTCTCCTGGCTTCGGAGCTGTGGTTGAAAATGTGCACAATGTGTGAAGGCAAAGTAACCCAAAGTGACATTTCAGGACCGTCGTGGTGGCTCAGGTACCTAAAAGGTATCAAATGCAAACTGATGATTTGAAAGCTTAGGGCTTAATCAAAGTGTAAAACAGCCTTTAAAAGAACAAGGAAGCATGTTATCCATTTTCTATAGTGCAACATAAATATTTGAAGAATCCATTAAGGCATAAAATAGTTTTCTACTGTACTTAATGTTTTAAGAGAATTGTATATGAGTGAGTATGTGAAAAAACATACTTGCTCTTTTAAGATAGTTTAAAGAAATAGACAAAAACATCAATACAATATGAAATATCAAGTGTATATATATATATTTTGGACTATATTGTGCGTTGATGAGTATTCAAAACAATAAAATGTGATTCATAGTTTAATGTAATCTAACAAAACCTTTTTTTTTTTTTAAATGAAATGCCGGTGGATTCTCAAAAAGTTTATCATAATCAATCTGTATCTGTTTCTTGAAGAGAGACGTGTTGTATAGAAACACTACATCAGCGAGAAGTCTTTATATTTTGTTAGAATGTCCCGTTTCTAATAACTGCTTTTGTGAATATTCAGACAACAAATGTTCAGTTTTACTATCAAACAACACGGTTTGAATTATTTTAAAAAGTAATCATAAATTAAAGGCTGATGTGTTGGGCGTTAAAAGAAGCATTTTTATGGTAATACCAAAGTACTTTTGAAAAACCTTAGACGACTTCACATATCCAGTTTAATCTGGTTTTCTTTATCTGTCTTTGTGTTTCAATCAAAGAGGAACAATCTCTCCCAACATGCTTATCCCATCTAGTAGAATAACAGATGTTGACTTGAAGCTATGTACTGAAGAAGCAGAGGATTTTCTGGTACAACTTCACCAACTACCAAAGTGTATGAAGAGTGAAATGCTTAGAAGAGGTCAAAATGCTCCAACAACACTTGTAGTATGAAGAGCAGAGAATTTTTCAATTTTTTTATACCACAAGTGTTGCTGAGACTTTAAGCTATGGTCAGGTTGGTTGAGGAAAAAATAATCATTTAGCACAAAATTTCTTATTTCTATACTAACTAATGTACCTTGTAACTTCTGACAAAGTCTAGTCTGTAGTTATTTTTACTATAGTCATTCCAGAGACTTTTTCCATTACAGTACCTACTGAACAAGTTTGATCAGATTAAAATATGAATCCCCAAATCATCACATAAAATTTGTTCCAGAGTATGATTTCAACACCTTATGTGTACTTTAGATTTGTCTAATAAGAATAATGTTGAAATATCAGAATGGGTTTTTGGTATAAATTTAGTGGGATGACTTTGGTTTGTCTCACATGTTTAGTAACGAAATCAGCTGTTTGAAACTAACTGCTGAACAAAAGTAAAAGACCAGATTAGACAGATCTGGAAAAGAGTAATCTTACCAACTTTATAATCCATCAGAAGCGTAGTTTTAATAATGAAAGTATCTGTTGTATTTAACCAAAATGACAGAAGTTTTAACTTTAAAGTTTGCAGCAGCAGCATGTTCAGGAAGTTAAAAGAGCCAGAGTTCAAACAATCATCTGAGAGTCACATTTTGATTTTGTAAAGGAGGCTAATTTATTTTTTGTACTTTTCAATTAAGGAATAAAAAATCATCATTCTGAAAATAATTGTAAAGTAATAAGTGAGGCTAAATAAAAAAATAATTGTAGCCGAATGCGTATTCCACTATTTGCCTAGACTACAGTCAAATAACTCTCTACAGAACATAACTACAACACAACACTTTCAACTTTATTCACTCGGCTTATTAGAGCAGATTGCTGCTCATCGCCTTCTTCACAGAGCACCCATATAGCATAGCTGACAGCAGTAAAGAGAGAGAGACGCACACACCAACTCCTCACACTTTTCTACGCTAACCAGCTGTCCCCCTGTGGTTTCAGCCTCGGCCAAACCTTTGAAACGTCCTTCAAGGCATAAAAAATAAAGAAGCAACATCATGCACACTGCTTTGGGTAAAATCCTATTTGTACACTGTAATTACGCTTTGAAAAGTTGCAGAGTTGAAAGTTTCAGGACCTTCGTTTTTTTCTCCTCTCATTTCTGATATTGATTAGGCTCTAAAACACATGTTTCTAAACCACAGACTGTTCCGAAGAACAAAGAGCTTTCTCATTACGTGCTGCGCCTCAGACAACTTTGAATGTCTCACAATGGGTTTATCGGTGTTATCAAGGGAAGCAATCAGAAAGAATGCAGTCAATAATTTTGTTCACAACAATGGAACCACCATTCATTTCTTTTAAATAACCACACTAGAGGCGCTTCAGACGTGGTATTTCACAAGATAGATGTTTGGGGTGATAGGTGTCCGTTATGTCCTCAATACTAAAAACACAGAGAAATAAAATATCATTAAAGGTTGTGTGGTAAGTCAACATTCAAGCCTATTCATCAGGAATCAACGTTTTCATTCTTGACTCGAAAAGCTTTCAAAAATGGCATCAGAACCATTTCTATGTTGCAATAAAAAATGTTCATGTTAAACAAACATAGCATTTGCAACAAACCTTGATTACAGGACAAAATACCATTGCACAATATTTTCTAATCACCCAAAAGTACGGAGATGGGAAGTGATTAAGTTGTTTGGTTGCAATGCTTGTGTAAGAGTAATTCCAAGTGAAATAGTTATTGTAACATTAATGCCTGACCTTGTGATCATGTAATCTGTTTCTGTAGTTTTCATGTTACATTTTAGCCTCTTAAGTGCATCCAACATGTGTTTCATCATCACTTAAATATGCTTTAATTGAAATCACTGGTGGCGGAAACCTGCTTTTTAGATTAAGTTTGAGATACAGAGTTGGAAAGTCCCATTGTGCTTAAAACAATTCACTCAATTTTTTTTTGTCCCTGATGTGAAATACGGTGACCTTTTCAACACTGACCTTTACTTGCGTTTCCTGAGTTTACGCTGGGGAAGCAGCGAGTCAGGCTGAGATATCAGGGACCACTCCTCCCTACAGTCATCTTTAGCTTCGTACACACCAGGTGCTCAGCCCAGCTGCTTCAATGGAGATGGAATATGAGTAGAGAAAAGAGAGGGGAGTTAGACACAGATGTATTGTTGTTATTCGTGCAAAAAAAAAAAGTCTGGACCAAGTTCATTAGAGGCTAAATTGAACGCACAGAAGGACTCATTTCTTGAAAATGAGTGCTACAAAGATGACAAGTTAACATTTGGATTTTGCACAGCAGAAAAAACAAACAGTTGTGAGTTAAGAAAAAGAAAGATGGTAATTATTAAATTGTGCTGACCCTTTATATGAAAGTAGCTTCGATAATTAAGGTATGTCTAGACCAGGGATGGGTAACTTTGGTGACAGCAGAGGCCACATTAATTGAATTCTTACTGCCAGAGGGCCAAACTATAGTATACAAAAACAATTACAATCAATTATGTCTAAAATTTAAATCAACATATACCAGGGATCAAATATTATTATGGACATATTTCTGGATTTTATGGCAGATTTTGTCATGTTTTCTTCATGTTTCCAATTAATTGATATGTAAAAATTGACCTGAAGGCCACGTTGAGGGTTGATGGGGGCCGCATGTGGCCCCGGGCCGCCAGTTGCCCACCCCTGGTCTAGACCATAGACTGTAAATATTGGGTCTAGATTTGCAAAAATATAAAATGAAAGTACAGGTGGTGGTAGAATTAAAAAAATACATTTAGTGACCTGCAGCCTACTTGAGTGCAATTTTGAGATAATGCACTTGAGTATCACTTTACTATCAGTTATCAAGGCAAAAAAATACTTGTTTTCTGCTACATTATTTAAAACATAGCCTACAGTGACTGATTTACAGATTCATTTGACATCAAAAGCACATCAATGTATTAAAAATGCAAGATTGCTGCAGATCAATTTACAAGATGAAAAGGTCAAATGTTCACAGCAAGGTATAAAGCCTACTACAACACTTTTTGGATATGCTATTTACTAGATTATTTTTCCTTTTTTCATACTTCAATAATAACCTTATATAATACTTAGGAAATATTGTGCGTTTTACAACCATTTAATATCATTTCAGAATACCTCTTCCTCTGCTGATAACAGAAGGCCTATTTAGGGAGAAGTCTGATAGCTATGCCTACCTCATCATTGAAAGGCTTTTTGTGTATTAAAACAGCAGTGATACTTATATATATTATTATCTTATCGTATGGCCAATATTGTGTTTAAATATCGAACAGTGTCATTTTTCAGCAACTAATTAGAAAACACTTTTTATGCTCATTTACCTGAGGAAGATATTGGACGCAGGACCTGAAATTATTATTATTATTTTTTTTTAAACGCAGTTTCCAATTCAGTCACAAACTAGGCCTACTGGGCTTAAAATGAAGGACACCGCAACAATATTCTCTCAATCATTTGAAGGAAAACAAAACCTTCAACAGGTGGTTTGTTTTATCAGAAGAGGAGCCGCCGCGTCGGGCAGGTTGAACTATCACCCGGAAGGTCTCGCGATAACACGTAGTGGTTACCAGGGGAACGAGAGAGCCTGGGAAGTTGCGGTTATCTGCTCCGCTTTCACCCGGGGTAACATGGACACCGCAGATACTAGCGTTACTTTTCTAATTCACAGGTAAACAGACGTGCGTGGAACATCTTCGTCCATGCGGGACGTATTGTAGAGCCTGCTCGACATTACAGTTTATTCACCCCCAAGGTTTGTATCTTTGTTTATCGAGGAATAACGTAAAGTAAGCCTGCTAACGCTATAGTTAGCTAACAAACTGTTGTTGTCTGCTTCTTCCACGACAACGTTACTTACTCTGTCGACCCCGGGATCCTCCTTTTCTAAGTAGTCTGACAGCTTTAACCGATGCTTGCTGGTTTAAACCTACTCTAAGCAGCTGTTTTCTGACAAAGAAGTTATAAATAGCCAACTTTACCAGGGTCAATATGGGTTCACGTTTACTTCGCCTGCGGGTGAAGTCATTGACGTTTCGCGCTAAAAAAAAAATTCAATAACGTCAGTGAGTGTTTTCTGTGAACTCACAGCAAGGACAGCTGATACCAAGCAATTGCAAGGTTTTTTCCTATCAGACACTGTGTTTACAACAACTTATTCGACTCCTCCGGGTACAGTAGTCCCCCCCCCCCTTTTTATTCACAGCGGCTGTGCAGGAAACACAGAAGCAAGTTGGTGTGTTGTAAACATTACTTCTTATTTCCACACAGGTAAGTTCGTTTGGAGAAGACAAGAAGCAAAATACACTGCAAAATGCCGTCACCACAAGTCCTCCAGCCTGTTCTTAAGATGAAAGTGGATGAGCTCTTTCTTAACTGGTTGAGTGATCCTGCCACACAGTCACTTCTCAAGGATTATCTTGACCTAATCAAAACTGGACAAGACATTGACCTGAGCAGTGGGGAACCGCAGGACAAAAGGTTGTTGACCTTCAACGAGAACAACAATGTTGCATCCCAAAAGAACCTGGCAGAAAAGAAGCCTGCCCACCTTGGTACTCCCTCCAGCCCCCCATCTGCCAGCACCCTGCCCTCTGGTAGTAGCAGTAATACAAGAATGACTGGACCCAATGGTAGAGTACTACGGCGGTCTGTCAGCACAAAAAAGGTAAATACAAACAGTAAACAAACAAAACTAAAGGAGTGTATCACCAGATTTTCTTTAAGCATGTAGCTCATCATTCTCATCAACATTGTAATGAAACAGTTAAGCAGGTTTTGCCAAGATTAAGAGGTTCTTAAATCACCAAGCTACAGGGCATCCAAGGTGTATCCAAGGTGCATCCTTGTTTTGTACATAAACTGTACAAAACAAGGTGTGTCTGGCAGTATGAGCCATCTTGAGATACCAATAACTTAAGAGTGTGTTACACAATCTCCTTAAGCCTTGTCCATTTTTGGCAGCAGGTGTTATCAATAAATTGTAGGTAAATAAGGTGCAGATAGAATGTGGCATGTGACATTATTTTTTTTTGTGTACGTTTAATATAATTGAAACCCAGATTGATGATCAATTCACAGTTTCAAATGGTTCTTTTGTATTAAAGTAGACTGTACACCACTCAGATAGGGTGTAGGGTGTATTTAATGCACCTAAACAATGGGATGCATTCCAGTACTGGAATGAAGTTAATAACTGCCTCAGCAATACGCATGTGCTTTATACATCACTAAGGCCAAGGAGATGATGAAGGATTGTTATGCTCTTGTTTGTTTTTTAGAGGTTGAGTTTGAACAAAGCGTTTAGCTATTTAACACCTACAAAACATACATTAAAAGTTGCCAAAACTTATGCTAATCAGCCTTTATTTTTTACAGAAGACAGGCTTTTTTGCGGTAGAAAAAGTGCAGATGTAAGAATATTTTACTGAATGCTTAATTACATTTAGGCTCTTTATTATCAGGGTTTAATGTGTCACACTTACTGGGCTTACTTACCAACATAGGCGCAGGTAGTAAGACCTTTGCTTTTTCTTTTACGATACTTCAAAATGTCTGCTGTTAGAAAGGCCTAGAGAGGTATCTGCTATCTCAGATTATGTTGATCTTTACTATACTTTCTTCGTGTTTGTTAACTTGTGAATCCTGCAACAACAATATATTGTAAATTTCAAATCAGCAGACACAGAACGATACTACTAGTTATTGACTTCATAGTAAATCTTTCTCCTCCTGGCCAACGGTTTGAAAGTATCTTTCAGCCGAGGTACTGTAACTTAAAAAGTGCCCTAAAGTTAGAAAGTTCATTTTCCAAGGCTGGCCACAAGAGGCTGCTGAGTATCCTACAGGATCAGGGAGACTCAATGACTGTCCACCCTGCACCATCATAGTGGAGCCTCCATGTCTGTAGGCAAATGCTGTGATTGTAAGTCAAATACTTTCCAAATGTCCATGCCTCACCCTTGAGTGTGGTATGGGAGGTGGGAGTGTCTGAACCTAGCCTATCCCTGGTAACTTCTTTCGGCCTATGGGCTGCAGATTTTATTGTGGTGTGACTGGAGTCTCTAGAAGGGAATAGTATACTTGGGCCTGCTTTAATTACAGAAACAATCAAGCAGCACCACTACACATTGAAAAGGCTCAAATGTGTCTGTTCAATGATTCTGCCTCTTTCAAGAAGGGACATTGTGATCATAGTAAGGTGATGACAGTGAGACAGCCAGACAGCTGTGGCAATTCCTGTTAGGTACTCCTCTTTCTACATGTTGTTGACATGCTAAAGACAGGCATGAGGAGGCAAGTGGTCACTGGTGCGATATCTGTACTTACTATGACTTAACAAGGAAAATCCTGTCTTTCAGATGATGATGAGTTGTTATTTGTAATTATTGTGAGACATATTTCAGTCTAACTAGATATTTTGTGGAAGAGTATTAAAAAGTCTTCAATGCTAGCAAAGGCATCAAAGTTAACGTTCTTGATCTTGTGCACACTAGAATTCCCACGTGTAAATTGACAAAACATAGTCTGACCAAGGCCTTTTTGTGACTCGCTGAGAAATTCTACGTTTCTCAAACCACACAATCACAGGTGGAAGGGGCTGAAAAGGACATGATGTCTCTTCCTCCCATTGATTCTTGACCCATAATGCCACTCTCTCACCCCAGCTTAAAATAAAGCAACTGCTGGACAGTTTGTGTATTCTGCTGTGATATGTCATGGCATGTGGCAACACTGTGTCACTCCTTTTTAAAAGGATTGTGAGGATATATAAAGTAATACTTCTATTTTAAGACAACAAAATGAATTCCTGCATAGAGATGCATTCTTCAAAGGATTAGTGAAAAATTCAATTTATGTCAGGCTGGTGCAGCCTGGAACAGCTGGTGTGACTTTGACATCAGACACTGATATAGATAGCCTTGGTTCCCGTGTGTTGGCATTAAATACCCAGAACTCTAGCCAGTGAGATGAGGTGTGGCAGAACATTCATCCCTTGTAATTTACTCTGAAACAACTTCAGTTATATGCTGCTCATTGTCAGAATATGTGGTGGTAGATCTTGTATTTACATCATGTACAGTAAATATGAGCTCCTCATTAAGGCCAAACTGTCAGTGCTGCTGTGAAGCTCAGAATTTTCTTTCTTTTATTTGTATGAAGGTCACACTCAGTCACAGAGAGGTTAAAAATGAAGAGCATTAGAAAGAAAATAACTTAGGTGTTTACTTTTTAGTATGTTCTCAGCATCTAGATTTAGGATATGAGGTTATTCTTCAAGATGTGACTTTATTTTTAACACACTTCGTACGGCTCAGCCCTATTGAAGCTATTTGAAGCAGGGGTCCAGGGTCACGTTATCAGTTGCCTGTCTTACCCTCCTGAGAGAACTGAGTGTTAGACTGTTACCCACAAGTCCTTTTATTTTGGAGTCTTCCTAACTTGGGGGTGTTTTAGTGTAAAATGGCAGCTTTTGGGTTTTGGCTTTGACTGAGCATGTTAAGGCCCAATGTAAGAGTGTACAAAGAAATATGAGGTGTATGTCAAACTAGTTTGCATGCTTTAAATATTCCTTGAGCCCAACCCTTTTTGTTTATTTGTTTTAAACCTCTACAGAAGTACTGACAGGCTAATATAATTTAACAATACAGACGTATCAAGAAACATCAGCATCTGTATGTTTTCTGATATGCACCAATTTTAAACCTTTTTTTTAACATTCAATTGAGTAGACAAGGCTTAGTGTGATAAAGATAAATAGATAAATTACATCAACTGAATGTCCTGCAAAGCTTGCTCCTATTTATGCATTAGCCTTAGCACTGCTTGTCTGCAGTAAACATAGAGCACCTCAACTAAGCAGACTGCCGTCGGCACTAGAATTGGTTGATAATGTTACACATACCTGGTAAAGATATTTGATTAAGAAAGCAGCTGTTTAAGTACCTTGGCATAGTCATAAATAACTCAGAGCGCAATCCCTGAAGAAAGTACTAACTTTACTACATTGTCTGTAATCTGTGAATGTTTTCCCAAAAAATGGATGTGGTATTATTAGTCACAAAAGACTTGTATAAATTGGGTTACTTTCACTGTCTGAAAAGTAAGTTTTATTTCCTCATACTTTTTTGTGCATATGATCCATTCACTTTTTGCCTGTGCAGCTTAATGTCACTTAAAACAATTATTTAAATTAAGTCAATATAGTACCAACTCTAAATATGAATATTACAGCTTTTGAGGAAAATTTGGCATGTAATTTTTGGTCATGTCAACAAACGGAGTAGATCAATATTTGCATTTTCAAAGTTGCTCTATAGTAACATTTTCCTGTTAAATATGGACAGTATGGAAAATGCAATTAAAAGTAGTTAATGGTCTTGATCACGACGGCGGGTGTCTCTAAATACTAATAAACCGTCAGTGTTTATATAGTAGTAACACTTTATTATTGTTGTATTAGGTGGGGGGGGGGTTATTTACAGTAACCTCTTATCTGCAGATTCCTTCTTTAGTCTTCTGCCCCTTTGCTCCACTTCTGGTGCCATGTAGACTATGTAGACATCTAGGCAGACCTCCATGATAACTGTCAGGCTCTGTTTTTGTTTCACTGTGATGCAAACCAGCTGATCTGCCTACATCATGTAATGCATGTCAGCCTTCCCGGAGCCCACCATGTTGTCAGTCAATAGGACCTATTTTTGGGCCATGTTCACATGTATCCCAAATCCCAGTCTCAGACAGATGATTTTGGTGGATAAGCTTGAGCTTTCTGGATTTGGGTTTAGTACTCAATGTTGTGGGCCAGTTGTGGATCTACCCCATAGTCATGAGTTGCCACTTTAGGCACATGTCACTGGTTAAATCATGTTGCTGATGCAGACAAATATAGTATTTTTTGTGGGACACTGTGACTGTGTACGCTTGTATTGACAACATGGAGAAGCCTCTGGGGAGTTTTGATCAGTATTTGTGTTCCACCCATCTGTCATTTATTTCAAACAACTGTGGTCTGCTACATGTTGTGTCTTGAATATCAATGTTTTAAAGTATCTGTTATGAATTCCTTCTTGATTAAAGCTCATCTAACTTGTAAAAGTCACCTTACTGCTGGGAGCTCTATAGCCTAAACCTGCCAATAGTTACTAACGCATTTGTGTTTCATAAGCTCATCTGTTATGTAATGAAGTAAACATGTCTGGACACATGTTTTTGTACTTATCAAATTAATTACCGGTAGTTCACAGATTACACATTTTGTTGGGTCAGTCTGGGTTCACGTTGTGTTTGTCACACTAGACCATTAGAGTGTGAACATAGTACTTGGGATTTGGACAACCTTCCTGCAATTGGAGTAATTCAATACAACCCCCACCAGTATTGTAAAGGCCTTGGATACAATCACTAATCCATGAAGGATTTAGTATCAGGCCAGTTCATAAACCAGTCTGATTGAGAAATGTATACTCCCTCAAAAAAAAGTAAGTGCTCTGTTTTTTAGAGTTTAGGATTAATTCAGTGTTTAATTTCCCCAAAGTTGTTTTACCCAGATTAGAAGGCCACAGCAGATAGCTGTTGTCCTTGCCACTGTTTAAAAGTACTTGCCCAGGCCATTAGTGTGTGAATGTCTGGTTTCTGTGAATAGAAAGACTACCACCTAGATCTGCTCTTTTTGAGAATTTCCATGCAATAACTTTGGTTTGAACTTGATTTATACTCTGTAAGGGCAGATTTTGCAGTTTCAAGTATCAGAATTGGTTTTGAGTGGGAACAAATACAACCAGATTATCTCCTCCTCCACTAACTCCTAAGATAATTGTGTTACTTGGTAATACTTGCTGTAGTTTGTCCATTCTGGTTATTTAAAAGTCACATGATGAGGGGAGCTCACATTGAGACTGTGTTGTGGTTGCTGTTCACTGGCTTTGTGTGTCCTTGATTTTAAAACATCAATGGTAGAGTTTCCTCATGTGTAAACAAACACATCATTATCCCTACTGCGTTGTGGACCACTGTTTGTGATACACACTTCAAATATTGTTTGCTTACGCACAAAAACAGACACAACGGTGTTCCATGCGAGTTGACAGTTCAATGTGATCTAACAGGTTATATTTTGGCCTTAGTGCTTCTCTTTCCATATTTGGTTTGAATTGATGAGCGTGAACAAAAGGTAGCCAGTGTGAGAAGCCATCATACAAACAGCTTATCAAGCGTGTGCAGTGTCCTGTGTGGTGGATAACAGGAACTGGGTTTGAGCAGAAACCGGTGGAAAACTGTGGACGCTATGATCCTGTCAACTAAAAATACCATGGGTTGGCTTTCACTTTTATTGTAAAATAACAAAAACATTAACACATACAGGCTTATTCACGTAGTCTAATGATGTGAACATCTGGGTACGGTTCATTCAGTCTTACATTATGTAGATGTTGGGCTTTCCTTGTGTACAGTGAAGGCAACCCCGAGCTGTTAGATCAGCACATTCATGGTGAATTGATGTAATTGCCATCACTCCTGGACATCAACCGGAAGTGGATGTTTGTTGGAGGACTAAAGATACACCCTTCTATCTCTGGATGTTGTTCCTTGGATTGTCCAAACTGTGTTTGCTGGCGCTATTAATAGACGCAGACTGGTTGGGACATCATTCTTTGAATTTGGCATAAACCCCCTACTACCCATCAACTATAATAAGATGTGGAATGGCTGGCAGCCCAAGCTTGCAAAGAGAAGGCAAAACACTGCCATGAGATCGGAAGCAGAATAGGTAATTATTTTCTCAGTGTTTCTTACTGTTGTGTGTGTATCATCAGGTGATTTGAGCCACACTCTTGTGAGCTCTTTTCAAGTTGTCATACCAAGGTTGTTAGTTGTTGTTGTTTTTTTGCCGAAGTCTTGTTAAGTATATTTTTTCTGCCAGTGCTGCTATTATGATACAATAACAGACGCTGGCTGATTTAGCAGAAGTTACACTTCTGTTTTTACACTCATTCACTTTATTGGATTTACTTGAATTTTTTTTAAATTTGCACCACAAGAGCACAAGTAAAGTTTCTCTGAAGCTTTTGGTAGCTTTTCAGAAGGCCATTGAACGTGAGCATTGTAGCATTGAGGTGCATCCCTTCAATTTGGTTCTGTAGCAGCAGCGTGCTGATACAACAGGCCTGTCTCTTTACATAACCTTCATGAGTTGTGAGGAATGCAAACTGGGAAGGGCAGATCCATTGCACACACCCCTCCTATTCCACACATACACTAAGTGACTCCCACACGCATACAGCCCGTCACTTCTTATCTCCCCTGCAGCTTTGAGGCAAGGGCTTCCTGACCCTGTGCAGTGTGTGTGCATATATATGTGTGTGTGTGCGCGTGTGTGTTCACATGTAAGGCAGAGACAGGGACAGAGCGGCAGGCAGAGCTAAGATTGTGCGACCAGATCTGGAATGGGAGAGAGAGTCACAGTAGCAGCTGCTCCCTTGCATTAAGAGGCTCTCACTCTGACAGAGGACAATCAGAGGGACACCACACACACAGGATCTCCACTGCTGCCACTGCCCCTCGCCCACAGAGCTGACTAGTACACTGTGATTTGTACGTTCAAGAGGATAACTCTGGATTGAGTGTTGTTTGTGTTTATGTGTTCCCCGTCCTGTCCGGAGCAAGGATGAGGATGAGGGAGCTCTCCCTGCGTCAGGACCCTGACCTGAGGAAGGAGTTGGCTCTGCTGGCACGCGGCTGTGACTTTGTGCTGCCCTCTCGATTCAAGAAGAGGCTCAAAGCCTTCCAGCAAGGACAGGCAGGTGTTTGTATGAGTGTACCCTCTTAACGTACAGGCGTTTGTGGCCCTGTCAGCCTGTGGGCATGTCTAATAATATGGACTAGTATTTTGGACTACATGTCTTAGAATAAATCCCTGGCCTTTAAACTAAATTAACTGCACTAATCCTCACTCTCACTAAGTATTCCTAACAAAGGGTAAATAAATAAAGCCAGTTTTATCCAGGACAAGTGAGGACCAACGCCCAGTTACATCACAGGAATTCTAAACTTTAAACATATAGAATATTACTGTGCCTGTGAAATCTGATCCCAATACAATCATTTCCCCCTTTGTAAGGGAATAACTTCTGCAGTTGTTTCAGGGAAAGGTATTCTTCTTTTGTTCAGAGAGATATGAGATTTAAGCCTTGGTTATTCGATTATGTTTAATCGTGTGTGGTATGTTACCCTCAGCTGCTTAACTGTCCTCTTTACAACCACATCATTGTGGATGTGCAAAATGTCACGGGGCTTAGCTGTTGTGCTCAAGAGCTCTGTTAGCTGTTAGCTTTAAGCAAGAGAGAGTGGGGACAGTGCTGGGAAGGGCAACAGGAGATGTTTATGTCCTTTTATAGCCATAGCTGACACCAGCACAGGGGACAGAGAAGATCAGAGGATCATCAGCATTTCTCATTTATTATGTTAGCCTGAGCAAGTTACCTTTAAGAGAAATTAGAAAGAAACAGTCACACAAATTCTTGTTGAAAAAGACTTGCTTTAGAGCCTTCATGCACTCCTCTATGATTTTGTGCTTGCTAAGCAGATTTTTTTTATTCGTATTTGCTGCAAACTTGGCTTCATTGAAAAATGGTATTTTTAGCTTTTAGCAGAGGGCCTTGTTTTTGTGTTTATGTGATTATTATAAGCCATGGAAACTGATCTAGTGTGCAGATTCCTGAGTCATGTAAATAGTCTTGATGACTGAGAGCAAAGCATTTTCTGCTTGGCCTGTTTTTAGTAACTGGCTAATATGCTCAACATAGAGACATATTTGGATACTTGTTATGTGTCTGGCTTTGTGTGAGTCTGTGATATTGTCTTTACTGATTCATGTCATTTATATTATGGACACACAGTAGATTATGATTGACCAAGACAACTCTTTGTCTTGGTAAATCCTACTGGTGTCGAACAAATTCATCAATACATAAAGAAGTGGCTTCAGTGTTGTTGAGTGACATAATCGTCACATGGCTTCAAAGCATATGCTTTAGAGACCTCACACAAAGCTGTTACTTTGGCCCTCTGGCAGATGTTGTTATTAGGCACACAGAGAAAGATCTAGGTTGTTACATACTGAAATTCTGTGTTACTGCGAAGTGCAGCACTTTGACATCTGTTGCATCATATGTCAGTCCAGAAAATTCAATGTACAGGGCTGTTACTGACTACCTGTGTGAGGTACATAGTTTTCTAAGGGAAAACAAGTTTTTGCATCATGACATTGTAGCCATACTAGTCCTTTAAAGGGACTGTCTGCTGAGGAAGCACTGCTAGTTTGTTTTAAAATTTGACACTCCAAAGGAGAAACAGAGCAGCTATAATTAATAACACTGAGTAAGTTTTCCATTCAGGCCTGTAGCTTCAAAGGCCATTATATTTTCCATGCTGGCTCACAGTCCTAGCTTACTGAGAGGCTCAAATGAACAAATAGGAATGCATTTTCTTTTCTGTAGTCAAAATCTCATGAAGGAGCAGATATATTGACTACCTTGATATTGTTCCTACAATTTAAGTGTGTATAAAATTTGACCACATAGCCGTTTAGGAGAGTTGGAGCATATCATCTAAAAACTGAGTTTGATTTATTTTTAATAAACAACCTGTGTTTTCCTTAACTTATGATTGGAAATATTGGTCTGTTTTTAAACATAACTAACCCAAAGAAAAACGTTAAAAGCATTAACTTATTATTACTAATAAGTCAAAGTTAGAGGTTGTGATGTGTCATGTGTCACCATTTCTCATGCTGTTTAGAGCTATCTCTTTGTTTACACTTAGATCATGGATCATGCTGTAAAATACCAGAACCTATTTGTAAACATTACCGTGATGCCACAGATGTGGTGATTATTATCCTGCAGTGATTTATCACTTATCTTCATTTTCAAAATGAACTGATGTTCCACTTTGTCACCCAACTTACATAAATGTATACTCAAAAGCATCCAAGTAACTTATTTATGTTCAAATGCTTGTGTTTATCATACAAAAGGATGTGAGGCTGTGTATCTGAGTAGATTATCATATACATATATTGTAAACATGTCTAGTATTTTAGTCGTGATATTACCTGCTTCTGTATCACACTCATGTCCTTACTCTTTTGACCATCATCATTATCATCATAATTTCCTAAACAGATGACGCTAACAAGTTGCAAACATATTATGGTTTGTCATGATTTCAGTCAGTTCATTCTACACATAAGTACATCCTAATTGACATCTATTACAATGTAAAAATGTATTAGAAAGGATTACTTCATTATGCAGCACAGTGATAGCAATTAAAGATAAATGGATAATGATTATGATTGCTCTCCCTGATGGGCCCTGGGGCTAGTGAAAGATGTGGTTAAAGTAAAGCAGCGTAAAGTTTGTGTTAAGGCGAGCCTGTGCACATGCTGGATTGCTTCAGCTGTGAGTTGTTAGCATTAGCCAGCATCAGTGGCTAACAGTTTGTATCTCTCTGTTTGTCTCAGGCCCAGGTGAGGACGGAGGAGCCCGTCACCACAGCGCTGAGTGAAAGCATTCCAAAGTTTTACTTCCCCCTGGGCCGGCCCCAAGCCAACATCAACATCGACAACCTCATTTCCAAAGTTGAGAAAATATTTTCCCAATTCCCAAATGAAAGGGCCACCATTGAGGACATGGGGCAGGTTGCCAAGGTGAGAATGTGATTTGCAGCATGGAGGTTCAGCTGCCACCAAGCAATTTAGCCCAACTTTAGAAATGTTTGCCGATTATAATTTTTTTTTAAACCTCTCGGAAAATATTATCTCTGTCCCCATGATGAATGTTAGCAATGGCCTTAAGGGGGACCTGAGTGAAGAGTGATATGACAGTTAGGTTTCCTCAGGGAAGTCTTTAAGTGATGTAACCCACTTATGTCGTTCCGCTCGTTTCTGCCTGAAAATTTGCAAGTAAATGTAGAAAGTTTAGCATGTTGCTTAACTTGTTTTTATATTCTCTGAACACAACACACTGCCCCATTTCTCCCCAGGCCTGCGAGTGCCCTCTCTACTGGAAAATGCCATTGTTCTGCTTGGCTGGAGGCGACAGGACGGGCTTCGTGTCTGTTCACAAATTTGTGGCTATGTGGAGAAAGTAAGACAATGCCTCTTCTTTTCTCACAAGACCTCTAGTGTACTCACAGCCAAATGACACATACACAATCGCCTTTGAACAATGATGACCACTCGCTGAGACAACAGACGCTGTACGCAGCTCTCTACTATTATGACATTTGCCTTTTTATCTGCTAACAGAAGTAATTGAATAAAAGCCTCACAAATACCCACAAGGGAATGGTTGTTTGCCATATACAGTATTTGAATTAAAACATCCGTTCAGAGTCACATACAGATCAAATTGAAAGAAATACTGCAGGGCTTTTTGTAATGGCTGCTGCACACTTAGCAGTGTGGTTAATGCTTTCGTATGCAATAAGCATGCTCTTGTATTAATGTGTTAGCCTCCTGAGGGCTGCACGGACCTGGCCTTTGACTTGAGCTCATGACTGAGCCATTCTTAGACGAGAGGCCACAACACACACTTGGATTATTCCGCTGTTTCTACTTTAACACTCAACACTTGAAATCACAAGGCGCTGATTCAGAATCCTAATTTCAGAATGTATTAAAGTTGCACTTAGACATTTCAGGGGAACAGTTTTTAAAAACTTGCGCTCTTGAAGGATGATAACAAGGATAGAGAGAACATAAAGGCAAAGGACTGAGTAACCTTGCAACCATCTGTTCTCTCTTTTCTTCTCCAGAACTCTGCAGACCCGTCACGACGACGCTTCTAAATTTGTGCACCTCTTGGCCAAGCCTGGCTGTAATTACCTGGAACAAGACGACTTTATTCCATTCCTGCAGGTACTGGCTGCAGCACACCCAGGGAGAGGGCTGGACTTGGCAAATGCCGGGGTAGCTAAATTGCATTGGCTGGGATGGTGCAAACTGGACTTAATTTTAGGACTGTGCTGCTGAGGCGGTGCTTTTTTAATGTGGTGGGGGAATCATTCAGGGACGTTACTGTGAGCCAGTAATAAAGAGAGGTTCCCCGTGGTGATGGAGTTGAGTTCAGCAGAAATGAACAAAGTCGAAAAAAGGAAGTGGAGATTTGTTTAATGTAAAACAAAAAAATGCCCCGAAATAATCCCTAAAAACATGGAGCAGATTGATCGAATTGTTTCATAGAAATAGTCTAATTGACTGTTGGTTCAGTCGTACCATGTGGACCTACTGTGCTAGCTTTTGTATTCTCACTCCCCCTGACAAGCTGTTGTTGCTCCACACAGGCCCCCGCCCTACACCTGATTCATTTTCATGCTGGCAGGAGTGGCTGGGCTGCACTGAACACCCGTTAGCATACCAACAGAGATGCCTTGTGGCACACGCTGTTTAATTTGTATGGTTCTGTTCAGCGTATCGGCTTTGACTGTTTTGATGAATGAAAAGCGGATTGCAGTGGAGTAGATTTGACTGTCCCCGCCTGTTTCCTGTGCCCTGTGATTTATGTGTTTCTCTATGATTTAATTTCTCACAGTAAGAGTCAAAGAGGCACGACGGCTGCCCTGAAATAAGGCCTTTTAATTTCATTGCCGCCTTCGCGTTTATGTCAACAATTCTTTCCCTCAGCAGAAGAGAAGGGAAGAGAAAAAAAAAAAAAAGACACAGGGTAGGTTCATGGCAGGGATTTAGCGAGAGTTCATTTAAAATGCAGCACACCCCCTGTGACTTTATGGCATGAGGAAGGAGAGAAGGTTAAGAGCAGTCACTGGCAAACGTCTTTACTATGGCCTTCTCACCAGTTAGCTGTCAATCAGAAAGGCTTAAGATCATCCCAAAACCGGTCGACCCAGTGTTTCCTGACTTCAAAGAAACATTTACATTTGATGGCCTCTCCCAACGAGGCCTGGTGCCTTTTATTTATACAGCCCAATTTATAAAGCATATGGTATGACATAATGACGTAGATAGACACTGACAGCTTCTGATGTTTGAATAAGTATGCATTTATATTCCTGCTCTGAATGTCATCTGTCCTGTCTACAAAAATAAGAAAGACAGATGTAGTTTGCCATTCAAGTCCTTTCTTTAACTGAACTCACTGTGTGTGCGCAGCAGGTCACAGAGTTGCTCTTTTGCAATTGTGTTTGTTAGTTTTGTGGACTTTGTTATGGAAATGAGTCAAACAATCACTACACACAAACTGAGCTGACTTTACTTTATGTTTGCAGGATGTTGTGAACACACACGCAGGCCTGGCCTTCCTGAAGGAGGCGCCAGACTTTCACTCAAGATACATCACCACGGTATAGTACCATATTAAATTACAAATAATGTTTTTTTAAAAAGTAGTGAAAATTTTAAATATTAAAATTTTGTTGTTTTTCAGCGATAAATGCTCAGATTGTGAACTGTTATTTCAGGTGATTCAGAGGATATTCTACAATGTGAACCGGTCATGGAATGGAAAAATAACATGTACTGAACTCAGGAAAAGTAACTTTCTTCAGGTACACAGTTTGTTTCTTTTCTTTTTTGTCTCTGTCTTAAGATTAAAGTGGTCTGTTGGTCCTTACGTCTAAAAACATTGAATGTTTTAATTACCCACCTTTAAAAGTCCTTCAATTTCCTTGAAGTCAATTTGAAGTTATTGAATATAATTATTTATTTCATTTGTCCAATCACATGGTTTGATTTTTTTATTCTTATTCTTAAAGCTGAATAGCAAATCTAATTGAGCGCTCCGTATATTTTATTTTTTGCTAACCACTATGTTTGCAGGATTGCAGAATCCTTGTGTTAAAAACCTAATGGGGTTTATTTAGAAAATATTATTTTTAGGCCATCGTTACGATTTAAGTGTGGCGGCTGTGGCTCAGTTGGTAGAGTCGTCGCCTGTCACCCAGAAGGTCAAGGGTTCGATCCCAAGCTGAGAAACATGTCTGATGTGTCCTTGGACAAGACACTTAACCCTGAATTGTTCCTGCTGCTTCGGTGGCGGTGTATGAATGGATTAGTGTTTTACTCTCTGATGTACGTCGCTTTGGATAAGCGCACTTGGAAACGTACATTAATATGTCAGCAGTTTCATCTGATTTTCTAAACAACTCTTTGTGAAGATAAAACCAAGCCCAACCCCATAATGTTGTTGTTCTTGTTTACACTGTCAAACAGTTTGCATTTACAACTGACAACAGTGGTCAGTCAAAGTCTAGTAACATGTTTGTCTGTAAAAGATATTGGACAAGAACAACAAACAGTTTTGATATTACTGACAGATGTTCACAGTTCATAATAAAGAAAATAACTTGTCTCAACTCAACTCTTATGTTTTCCCTTTCATCCCAGAACGTGGCTTTGCTGGAGCAGGAAGAAGACGTGAACCAGCTGACAGAGTTCTTCTCCTATGAACATTTCTATGTTATCTACTGTAAGTTCTGGGAGCTGGATACTGACCACGACCTTTACATTGACCAGAAGGACCTGGCACAGCACAATGACCAAGGTACATGACACCAGAACACACTGAAACTGTAGAATAATGTATTGGTTTCACATGTGGTGTGTTTGGATTCACTTTATATCCTGCCACATATGGAGAGAAAAAAAAGCAATGACATAAGACAAGTGCTGATAATTTGTCATACACACCTAATTAGCTTCATCTTCTGGTGTTTATTGGTCCAGTTGTTGGGATGAAAGTACAAGAAAAGAATTAGTAAATATTACTTGTTCTGCTACTCACATACAAACACGTACTCATGAGAAAGACTTGTCTTTGACGCTTTCTCCCCACACACTCAACACCACATGTTCCTGGTTGATGGCCTGCGAGTGAGACAGGGGAAATGAGACACGAGATCAATAAGAGAGCAGCATATATACTCTGCTCGAATGACGCCATGTCTGGAACAATTTCTGCCACTATATGGTCAAAATGATGACCAGAGGATTTATAGCACTGTCAAGATAAAACAGAGCTACATTAGCTTCTCTGGATTTACAGTCTGAGAGAATGGATTACATGTGTTGTGAAAGAGAGAGCTGTTTTTATCCCCATGAGTCAGGATTGTAAGTAATCTGTACTTTTCTTCCCAGCCATCTCCCATAAGATGATTGAGAGAATATTCTCAGGAACGGTAACAAGGCAAGACAAAATGTAAGAAGAAAGCTTATCCTACCTAGTAAACAATTCATTCTGATTTAATTTAGCTTTTGTTCCAATAGTGATTGTGCTGTTTTTTTTCTTTTGTTTTTCTGTCAGAGACAGACGGATGTTTAAGGAAGGGCGACTGAGCTACGCTGATTTTGTGTGGTTCCTCATCTCTGAAGAAGACAAGAAGACTGAAACCAGGTATGTAGACACACAGGGTGCTTTTATTATGCTAACGCTCACCATAGTGACCAAGTTGTAAATTGTCTAAAAATCTAATCTTACCAATTACTGCTCATTGTGGACCACCTGTGCAAGGTCTCTTTGAAAAAAGGTTTATTTAAGAGTACAGCACAGAGCTGCTCTTTTCACTTCTGTTTGACTGTCTGCTACATAGATACAAATTGATTGAATGATTGAAAAACAATTTCAAAACTTTCCACCCATCCCCCATAAATTCTAACAAACAGACAGAAAATCTTAATTTTAAAATGTAATGAATGAGATGTATTATTGATGTTGTTGTTTTAATCATTTATTGTCCTGTATTTTTTAGATCTGTTATTTTCTTTTGTAACTTCACATTTTATTCATTTGCATTATTGTTATCGGCGAAACAATAAATTGTCATAAAAATGTTATTTGAGTGAACCCGCGACAAATTGAAATTTAAAATTGTTAAAATGATTTTCTGAAGAGTTGGCTGTAACACTCGAGCTGGTTGCACATTATGTAACCTCTCAATATGTGAAAGTTACGGGAATAAAGTGTGTCAAAGAGTTTTTAGCTTACATTATGTAATTTGATATAAAAGACTTTCAGGTAGGGTACACCTGCGTTTCCTCGCTCTAAGCTCCTCCAGAAACCTCCTTGCTCTCTGTGTCCTTACCATACATTAAAGGGATTCTCCGTTATGTTAGAGCTAGAATGATTTCAGAGTGACAGGAGGAGAGAAGAGGTGATAAAGCATAGCTCCTTAAGTCACTTTACATTTTGTGTTTGTTTACAGTCTTTTCTCACATGTACCCTTGCTCACTGGCCTTTTTCTTTATTTGGCTCCAGTATAGAGTACTGGTTCCGCTGTATGGACCTGGACGGGGATGGGGTGCTCAGCATGTACGAGCTGGAGTACTTCTACGAGGAGCAGTGTCAGAAGCTGGAGACCATGGCCATCGAGCCCCTTCCTTTCGAGGACTGCCTCTGCCAAATGCTGGACCTGGTCAAGCCTGAGGTGGAAGGTAAGCCCAGTCTTTACATTTATACAACTTTCAGAAGTTTGCACACCGATCAATCTGACAGGCTCCACAGACACAGTTTCAGGCCGGGGTCATTGATCACAAGCTGAGTGAACAGTTATAGATGAAACGCTGGCTAACTGATCGGGACAGCCAGCTGTTGGTGTCAGCCACACTGTCGACAAATTCCCTCCAGCACTTAGCTTTACTGCCTTCCCATTTAGAAGACACTGGTACATGGTGAGGGTATGCATGTTTAGTATTGATAGCCACCTCAAGAATGTGACCCTAAGTCGACCTGCTGGTATTCTGCAGTATAGGAGCTGTGTAACAGAACGTGTAATCTGAACCTCTTCCCCCCCCCCCTCCCGTCGATACATTTTTAGCCGATTTTTAAGTCTGCCCTTAAATTATTTTGAGATTTCTTGTCTGTGGTAGATGGAGATGTTATATTTGATGACATGGATAATGACTTAATATGCAGATAAGAGGACTATTATGACGTTTTCATAACAACCCAGCAAATGTCTGAAAAGGAACACAGAACTGGATATCTCTGTTTTTTTCTACTCTTTAAAAAGCAAAAAGTAAGATTTCTGAATGCTACAAAGGCATAAAAATCACTTTATTTAAGGAGTTGTTTGTTGGGGGAAGAGTTGAAAATAAAATCAAGTTTATGTCTTATTGTAAGTCCACCTAGACATCTCACGCTTTGTCAAAGTTGAACTGTAGCCACCAACCATCAGGCTGCAAGTCTCATTTGATGACTTAACTCAGGGCGCACTCACACTAGCAAAGTTGTCCCGTACCGTGCTTATGCACACCTCTTCAAAGTGAGCCAGGGCCAAGGAAGTGTACGGGACTTGAGCACGGATCAGAGCACTCACACTCGTCAAACGTGTGTCTGGGCTTTAACAAGTAGTACAGAGCTTTTTGAGCAGCTTTATGACAGTAAAATCAACATGATATAATAAATATTATCCAGTTTATCCAATTAAGTCTGATCTTCTTTGAACAGTTGTGATGATTTCATATCATTGAGCACAATTCCAAACATTTCTGTCTAACAGATTTTCAGATGAGACACTATGCTGCTTTTTGTGTTTACATGTTTAAAAATGTATTTTCTTTGTTTCTCAATCAAAAAAAAAGTTTGAGGACTTGTCACTGAGCTCTGATAACTTGTTACAGACACATTGTTTTACATTTCAAAGAGTACAGAGAATTCAGTTAATTGGGAAAAAATGATTGACAGGTTAATAAATAATGAAAGAAAAAGATTTGCTGCAGCACAAGTTTGAACATCATATGCCAATCTTTGTAGTTTGATCAGTAAGCAAATAAAGATGTCAATTATCTGTTTAACAGTCTACAAAATGATTTATGGAGCTTGTCGGGGCCAAAACTCAATATTTACTGAGTCATCATAGTCTCAGGAAAATCTTGAAAGCTACATTTGATGTCTAGGTCAATATAACAATCCTTCCATTGAGCCCCTGTGTATAGTTTAATACCCACACCAGAAATAATCAGTCACTGCTTAAGCTCGTGTTTGAGAGTGTTGATTCTGTCTGAACTGCCTCCTTTTTTGGTTCAGGTAAGATCACGCTGCGGGACCTTAAAAGGTGCAAGTTGTCCCACATCTTCTTCGACACGTTCTTCAACATAGAGAAGTACCTGGACCACGAGCAGAAGGACCCGTTCTCCGTGATCAGGGTAAGAAGGTTCAACTCTGATAGGCTGTCAGCAGATGTGAGATAGCACCATGACTTGTTGTCCTGTCAGAGGTCAAGTGGATCATGTAACTGTTCATGTTTTTCAGGAGTTGGAGACAGACGGACAGGAGATGTCAGACTGGGAGAAATATGCAGCAGAGGAGTACGACATCCTGGTGGCTGAAGAGGCCGCCAACGATCAGTGCAACGACGTGTAAGTCTGCGTTTACATAAAGTGGATGTGATGTGTAGATGTGGCTCCAATCATCATTCTGGATCACAGATTATCAGTTTACTAACTTACTAATTAAATCAATTGTAAAGTTGGACGTTAACAATTAACCACTCTTCTTCACAATCTAAACAAATTATACCTCCTACATATTTAAAATGAGTTGCTGTTTAAAGGCAGTTGTCTGGTGTACCTTTTCTGCCAGCAGCAGAATTTCTTTATTTCTCAAATACAGCTTTCTTTTTCTATCAATTTCAGCCATTTTTCTTTTTTCATCTTTATTTGTCTGCTTAAAATACATGAGATTGTTATTCATTTTGCATATTCATTACAACAGGAGATAAGCAAAGTGTTTTACAAAAATAGTAAGGGCCGACCAATATAGGATTTTTCTGGGCAGATACCAGAACTGATATTAAAAAGAGAGAAAATGCTGATACAGATATATTTGCCGATATCTTTCTTAGATCTAGCTTTGATCTTTAGCAATAGATTGATATAGATACACACACATTTATTGTGTTGTTCCCTTAAACGCAGTTATCAAACACTTGGGAATAAGGTATAATTAAGAAAAAGAAAAAAGTCTTTATTTTACAGTTGAATAAAAGCCTTTATTGGCCAGACTATCAGCAGTTCAGTGAAAGACTAATTTTTAGTAAGGAATTAACAATTATAAAATTATCATTTATGAAATAAATAATAAACTTAAATTGATTAAACCTAGTAATATAGACTCTTATCGGAGATCAAATTAGCCGATACCGATAGTCACTTGATTTGCTAATAACTGCCGATATTATCGTCCTTCTGATTAATCTGTCCGTGAAGACTTTAAATCAAGCAAAATGTGAGGGCATTTATAAAGAAGAAATGGCAGATCCCTGATTGGCCATTTCTTATAGAGGAATAAAAATCAATAATAGGTCATTTGATCACTTAATATGTATTCCCACTCTATGCAGTTAGAAGGAGAGTGTTGTCTTATTTCTGAGATAAGGAATGATATAATAAAATTACATTCAGGACTAATTCTAGCAAATCAGCAGTTGTGTGCCAGGTTAGCTTGTTTAAAACAGCAGATACATTTAAATACAAAGGGGTCCTGACTGTCTTTGTGACTGATTGATGTTATTACAAACAAATGATCCACATTATGAGTTCTGTAAAGCTACTTTAGTATTGTAATCAAGTGTGGGAAAATACTTTTGTTGCACATGTTTCTACTTGTCGCGACAGAAACTGGATAATCTAAGAACATTTTTATGACAGTTTATCGTAGAGTAAGGCATTATGATGTCAAAGTTCATGTATGTAGATTATAATGCCTTTACAGTTTTTGATGTAATTTTGTAAAATCAGCTAAACACAAGGTGATCTTTCTAAGTATAGGATGTTAACGGCAGAATGACAGAGCTGAATGTCTCCTTGCTAAAGCCGGCGTTGTGTCGGGCAGCAGAGCCCCTCTGAGAGAGAGTCAGTGATAGATGAGGCTGTTGACAGGAATGTTGTATGGCGGTTTTAGGAACACCACCGACTTCTAAAGACAGACTGCTAACCAGAACAGGTAAGACACTCAGGGTACCAGCAGGGACTAAGTGTTCTCCTCTTCCTCTTTTAGAAAGTCTAGTCCTAAACCCCCTCCTGGCTTCTGCCCGCAACCCTCCAGTTGAATCAACCTGTTGACAGCAGATTGTAGTTCTGTCAGGCAGCATGGTGTGTGTATGTGGCACGTCTTAGAGCGAGGAGTCTGTTTTTGGACCGGACAGCTTTTGGTTTTATCCTTCCTCTTAAGAAAAGTCTTTCCTGCACCATCTTCGTCCAGCCTTTATGTACTACTCCTTTGTCCTTTCCAGTCACAATGATGAAATGTCTTGAAAAATGTGTTGAAAATGTCTGTTTGGGAACAACTCTTGTTTGCTGTTCTGCTTTTGTACGGTAAATATGAAGCTAAAAGCAGCCAGCTAGCTCCGTTTTGCATCAAGACTCGATATGGGGGAACTAGTGACTTGGCTTTGCATATCAGCAGCTCTAAAGCGCATCATTAAATATGTTTCAACCCTAACCCTAACTATTTAAACTGTCTCAGACACCACATAAATAACAGATCCAGTCTTTGCTAGAGTAAAGGTTTGGATTATTTATATATATATAACTATATACTATACTATACTATAATATCTGCACCTTATTTTATTTTTATATTTAAATACATGCTGCTGTTTTTTATCCTGCACTACAACGAGCCAAATGCAACAAAATTGCGTTCTTATCTGCACTGTAAAGTACAAGTTTGTATGATAATAAAGAAAGTCTAAGTCTAATTATTTCATGGTTGGATTTGGTTACTTTTTGGATTCATGCTGGATTGGATTGGGTCACTAGGCAACCAGAAGGGACTCGTGTTTACAGATTATACAAACAAGAAGAATAACATGTATCTCAGTGAGGTTTAGGGGTAACTTTGGATAGACTAAAAGTAATCCCGTTTTCAGTCTTTGTGCGAGGTTATTCAACTTCTGGTGGTAGTTTCAAATTTACCGTTCAAATAGAAAGGTTTAGTTAACTTCTTACGCTTTGCAGAACAGCAAAATACTCATAACAGACATGGTTGTGCTGTTGCATAATCACCAGAGTAAGTAGTTCTCCTCACTGTGTTTCACTGACCATATTATGAACTAAAGCAAACTCTCCCTCTGAGTGCTATATAACCTTTTCTCCATGTTTCTGTTTAGGTATGAAAATCCTCTGAGCCCTCTAGGGCAGCACATCTCCACTGACCTGGGTCTGACAAAGAGACACTTCTTTGAGATCCCAAGTCCACACTGCAACCTCGACCTGGATGAATATGAATATGAAGACGACTATGAATGACCCGACATCCTGAAGGTTTTTTGGGGTTTTTTTTTTTCACACATCTGCTGAGACACACAAAGTTATTGGACGAATCTCCTCAAGCTAGAAAGATTTGCAGGTTCAGGCCGGTTCCCATCCTGCATACCAGGCAACACTTCATTAAACTGGAAGTGATCACAGTGCCAAACGACTCTGTTGGAGCTCTGTTGGGTCGGATGTGCCTGAGGAATCTGATACCGTATTACACATTTGGGAAACGGGAGATGTGACGCGGTTTGAGCACAATACGGTATCACATTCCGATACCAACACCAGATTAACTGCCAATGAGTCTGCCATTATTACACAGATGTCATAACCAATTGGACCCCCAATAATGAACTGGTTTCAGGTAAATTATCATGCGACAACCAACAACAGTGGGGGGGTTGGCAGAGAGTATAAAGCTTAAGCTAGAAAAATGTCAGAAATCATGGTTTTTCACCAATTTGTCACTCTGTATCTGATGATATCCAACCATGGGTATCAGATCGATATCAGTTTGACATAAATGATATCGGAACATCTCTATTCTACCTGATCCCTTTTTTTCTTTTTTTTCAAGTCCCAATACCAACTTTATGACACGAGCAGCTCATTCAGACCTTTGCTTCATCGCCATGGCAACACATTGAGGGTTGTGGTTTGCATGTAACGCTTTGTACAGATGATGTGTTGTCGAGTGTTTTTTCATCAGCGCTGTTGTCACACTCACACGGGCTAAATCGCATTCTTTGCACACTGGAGCTCGCTGGATGTTTTGCACATAAAACACGTAGATTGGATTCAGGATCTTGAACTAATTCTCATCTGATGTCATTGGCTAATACATTCCAGTGATAACGGAAAACTGTAAAAAAAAAAAATGTATTCATAGATGTTTTGCTGAAATGAGGAGTTTCTGTAAATGCCAAACAAGCCACCTTAAAGCCTGCTGTACACACGAGCACACAGTCCACACTGACACGCTGGGTATATTGTACAGGTCTGTATTCATTATGATGTCCACTTTCTGTCTGTGTGAGGTGGGGTTCTAAATTATTAGAGATGGATTTATAAATAAGTGTAAATATTTATTTGGTGCTTGCTGTGTTGTATATGGTTTTGGCAAGTGTTTTTAGAAATATTGTTTTTCTATGTTATGAAGTCATTTGAATGTACTTTCACAAAACAAAAGGAACCAATTTACAAACGCTGTGCTTTTCTTTAAATTCATAATAAAGCCTTGGTTAATTAAAGAGTACAGAGAGAAACCTGTGATTTCTAACAAAAGCTTGTGCAGTTTAATTTCTCCCTGAAGATGTCCGACAGCTGAATACCAAAGGAAACAAATGGTACTAAAATATAACAATAGTTCAGTTTGAGGGATGAACTCATTTCTTTATTTCATTGACAATAATACATTAAGAGTCAGTTTTGGCAAACTTTAATAAAAAATAAAGTCCTGTAAGGTGCAATGATAAAGTGGCAGACAGCATATCACACATCTCATATTAAAGCAAGTGAGTCTAATCTGGAAATGAGTGTGAAAGATGCATCACTGTGCTAGTGTTGTACTCGAAATCCGTCTTGGTCTCGTCTCAGAATCAGAAGAGTTTTTATTCTGTCTTGTCTCGGGTTTAGACTAGTTGGACTCTGGTATTTAAATCAAGACGACCACTGATCGGCTATTTCTTTACATCATCACTATGATTAGTTCGGTTAGTGTGGTCTTTTATTACAACACTACTTTGTGCACGCAGATAAATGTTTACACACACAGATACACTTTGTCAATAAATGAGAACATAAAGTCTGCAAAAATAAAAATACAGTAAACCGTAGTCTGAAATTAAAGCTAGTGTTTTGTTTTCATATCTCTGAATGTTTAAAAAAAAAAACATGAGATTTTTTCCAACTTCCTCCGCAGCAAATGTCGCCCGAAACACGTTTGTTTCTACACAGTTTTTAAAGAAATCTTTAAATCTGGTAACAGGTCTGTTGTTCCCTTTTTATTAATACATAATCTTAATATGTTTTCTGAATAAATATTACCTCAACCAGAATAGAAAGTGCATTAGCTTTGAATTACCTTTAGCTGTATATAAATACATTGTTGGTGAGCTGGTCGGTATTTGTGGCAGCAGGATCTTAAATTTAGGGTAGAAGATTTGATAATGAACGTGAGAACTATGAGGTCACTATGAGGTCACACTGAGCAACAATGACCTGGCTGTTAACCTTGTGATATAGCGGGGGTCACTGATGTCTTTTGAATACATCATGGGCGACAAATAAAGTGTATAGCGCTGGTATTTAAAGTGAACGGTATATCAGACATTAGCCAAACACATAACAGAAGGAACATAATTTCTTTGATTAAGTTAAAAGAGAAATATATATAAATAAAGTGCAACCCTTTTCTGAACCATTCATTCATTACGCTTCATTGGCAGATCAATCACGTCTGTGGAGTGTGACGACAGACAGACTTACAGACCTAGAAATATAATACAAAATACTGAATAAGTCTTTTTTTTGTCTTGTAACCAAAGAATGTCTGTTCCATATTTGGAGATGATAGTTTAAAATATATAAGCAAGGTACTAAACAAAATTATGTAGACAAAACTTAATTTTGTCTTGGGGGGGGGGGGGGGGGGGGATCTTTTTGTGCCTCCATTGAAGAAAAAATCAGGGAGAGAGAGATGGGAACGACATGTGGAAAAGGGGCCACCTGATGGAGCCTCAGTACGAGGGGCACGTGGACTTACCACTGAGCCACCAACGCCCCAATGTAGACAAAACTTAATATAAGTTTATGAGACTTTGTTCATGGTCATACTTACAGACTGACTGTCTACTGGTCACCAGAGCGTAAAGCATTAAAGAGATTTAACGGGCTTTGTTACACAATGCTGTCCCTGTTGGAGTAAACTTTGAGGGTCAGGTAAAGCTAAACTTCATGCAGAGGGAAATCATAATTTCAGCTTCATCCAACCGTGTTCTGGATCAGATTTTGGAGTTAGACAGATTTGGACGGAATTCAAAGTAGATTGTAAAACAATCTTTAAAAAAAAATGGGCATGGCGTATACTGAATGGATTCAACTGGATCAACAACACCATAGAGATTAGGATCAGACATTTTCTAACATTCAAAAGTCCGAAAGTTACAATTTAAATGTAACATTATTTTGAATAAATTGCATCTAAATTGGCACTGCACCACCTTGGTTCCTTTAGCAATACATCGATAATCATCAGTGATTATCGTCTCTAGACTATCTCTCCTCCCCGTTATAAAACATGTACAGGATGTGATCCCCTTCTCGTCAGAGTCCTTGGATATTACTTTAGGACACTCCAGATCGCCCGGTCACGCCCTACAGCTCATCTTTAAAGAAACTATGCTGCCGTGTAATCACTGATAGTTTGATCTAAACGTGTCTCTGAGCTGGCTTAGGGCTGGAGAGATAGTCTCTTCTCTTCATTCAAAGGTTACAATGTAACCCAACCATTTATGCTTTTAACAAAAATTGTAGGAAATAAAGACGGACTAAGGTTCTATTCATAACCATTAGATATCCTCATATAAAATATTAAGTGCTGCCTTTTTAACACCTGTATCGACAGAATGAATAAATGGACATTGGGATGTCTCTCCCGTAGTTCATCGTGTCACCTTAGGTCCAAACAGATGCACCGATTCCCTCCAAACCTCCACCTTCTCACAGTTCCACTTCCACAGTGTCGCTCTCCACCTCGTTGCTGGTGCCGCCGTCTGATCCTCCCATGTTTAACCTTTTTGCTGGCGGTTCCACAGGGACAGAGAAGGGGTCCGCGTCTGTCGTTTTTTCCTGACGGCTGAGAAGTTGCATGACGTTAAAGAAATGAATTAATGAGCAACTCGTAAAATAAAACAAGACTACTAGAGGAATAAGAAGCTGATTGTCCGTCTCACCTTGGACTGAAGTTTGATCTTTGTACTTTACTGACTTTGGAGTGGGTGGAGGTGAACAGGCCTGGGGATTTGCTGCCTAAAATAAAAATATACACATAAGGTGCTGATGTTTGGTGACAACAAAAGACACAAGGATTCTGCGCTTGATTTTGCTTTATTTTGTGTTGTACCTTCTAGTTTTTGTTTGTAAAAAGGAGAACGATTGGGTATGTGAGGCCTCCTGTCAGAGCTAACGTTGGACACAGCGTCCTCCCCTTCTCCCGCAGCCAATAGGGAAGCTCGATAGTGGATAAGAGGCTGCCAGCCCTCCTCCCTGAGGTCAATAACGTGCTCTGCGGTGTGCTTCTGCAGGTAGGAGAACCTGCAGAGACAAGAACAGTCTCAAAAGGCAAAGTTCAAAAAGACTTTCAAAGCCTGTTTGTAACTCTGTGCAGCACTTACACCGTCTTCTTGTCTGGTTTGAGCAGCTTGCTGGAGAATTCGCTGAGGATGGTCAGGTAGTAGAGGTAAAGGGGCGTAGGTGTTTCTGGAGTCTGAGTAAACTCTTGGAACACAAATTCAATCCCGTTCCTGCACATTTTACAACACACAAACCTTAGGGCTCAAAAATCCAGCAGCGTTATCGAAACATTGAGAAAAACAAGAGCCAACGACCGACCTGTGGATCACGACGACGCACTCGCGAAACTTGACAAGGTCGCCGAAAGTGAGGGCAAAGCGCCTGGCGAGCTCTTTGATGCTGGTGAAGGTCTGGACTCCTGGGTGAGCCCTGCCGCCGCTCTCCTGCTCTCGCTTCAGGCGAACAAAGAGCTGGGAGAAGTGGAGGAGAAAAAAAATAAAAAAACATGTCAGAGTGCTGCGGCAGCCTGGGTGGAGCTGAAGTTCATTTTGGAAGGATGAAGTGTACCTGCTGCAAACAGAGCACCAGAGTACGAGCACTCTCTATCTTATCCATCTGCCGGGTCCGGTACATCGTCTCCTTGATGATGTCTCCAAAGTCACTGTAGTACTGGAGACAGAAAAAAGGAGCAACTGATTAAACAATCCAAACGGTTTTACTAACCATGAAGCAAAACTATAAATAAAGCCTGATGGTTGTGTAGACATAGACATAGATTTACTTTATTGATCCCAAACTGGGAAATTGTGGTGTTACATCAGCAGATAACAGATCAAATAAAACAATAAGAATAAGTATAAGGTAATAAGCACTAAAAATATAAAATAAGAATAAGAAGTATATACATCAATGATTCCACCAAACAGTCCAGTCACAGTTAACAAAAATGTGTCCAGACTCTGATAATAGATGTAGGGACGACTTTGAAGGTAACAAGTGGTTTGTTTGTTTTTTTTAAGCAGATTTTCATATATAAACTTTTTGAATCATTTTTTAGAAGCCTTTTCAGACAGAAGAGCTTCCACAAACATGTGGAGAGAATAGATTCAGAACGGTCACAGAATTTAATCCTTGAGTCCACGTGAACGGTTTTGACAACAAACATTACCCGAAGGCGTGCCTGCTCATTTTAAAGTGCGAGAATGCCGCGGTGGACGGACGATTAAGTTTCTTGTCTTGTCAGTTTGATACTTATCTTGCGTCTGTTTGTTTAATATGATGCTATAACCAGCAGTCGTTTATCTGAGCTTAAGATAAAGACTAGACATAGACTGCTCAGCGCTGTGAGTACAAACAACACTACATTTGTCTGTTTTTCAAATAACCCTAATTTCACAAAATCCTTTTATGTCCGTTTATTAAGCTTTTTATTGTTAAAACATTTCCAGTAACCTGCTGTGGATTATTCAGTGAGTTATGAAGTTCCTGAGCAGCTAGCTGCCCTTTTGTGGCACAGTTTTTCCAACTTCTCAAGAAGTTCTTGGTCCTCCAGACAGCTCAGTGTGATATTTATGTATTTACTGCCCCTATTGTGTTTCCTGGTGTCCAATGTGTTTCTTTCATTTGTTTGGGTGATCGTTTTGAGGCACTGCTGGTTGTAAAACAAATTTCCCGACGGGGCAAATACAAATATCTCTCTGGCCTGTATTTGGGATCACTTTTAATGTATTTTTTTTTTCAGCCACGGCTCCCAACCTTATTTAAGACCAGCTTTCACTTGACATACAGCTTTTATTCAGGAGATATGGTTTTCATCATACAGACATCAGATGTATCAATCATCATATCTCACTGTAAGAAACTTTTTCCCAAAGTGTCCAACTATTCCTTTAAGGAGTCGACGTTTACCTTCATGTAGTACGTATACACCTCAGCCGCCATGCTCATCTCCAGCACTCCATGTATGATCAGTTTGCAGAAGGCCGCGAGCAGATTTCTTCGCCTGTGCAGGTCCTCCAGCTTCTCCACTTCACAGTTTTCACTGACTGAGGGATCCAGATGGAGTCGAGGCGTGCGGTCGGACGCGGAGTGGTCGAGAACGAGATGAGAAGAAAGTAAGTGATTAATCATGAGAAATCATACAGCAGAGAGCAAAGAACAAAGTGGAGAGGGGGAGAGTGTTTGAGTAGGTTTCAGGACAATGGCTTTAGCAGGTGGAAATCAAAGATAACATAAGACTAGAGTTATAGTTGTGACACCATGTGGCTTCAATCTTTCACAAGGCTAATAAAATAGGCTCGGAGGTGAGCCAGAGTTAATGGAATTTTCTCACGGAAAGAGATTGGCCTGATTTTATGATTTAACTCTGTGCCCCTGCCCTCCGAGTGATCTCTGATCCAGCAGCTAATAGAAAACACTGTCTATATATATAACAAAACCATAACCAGGCAAATCCAATAAAACAATCGCTTTTTATTACATGTTCAAAAACCAATAATCCCCTATTGCATTTGGTTGAACATTTAAGAGATTCCCACCAGGACCGCTAGTGCGTGCTCTGAACTAGCCCATATTTGGATGCAATATGTCTCAGAAAGTAGAAGCTGTTGTAAAGATGATCCAATGTTTAGGATACAGTCAGCCATGAATGAAATCAAATGTTTACCTGCAGGACTTCAAACAGAGAACTCAGTTTATTCCCAACATCTTGTTTTTCTTTTTCTTTTTTTTAGAACATATTGCCACCAACAATTTACAAGCTTCATCACTTTTTTTATACGCCATGTCAAACATATTAGTGGAGCGTGTTCCAGTCTGGGGTTTTTTCTTAACTGGGGTTTCTTTTGTAATTGAGGGTCCATTGTGAGGTCACGGTGGGAATCAGACCTGGTTTGCAGTCAGCAGGCAGATCAGCAATGAGCTAATAAGCCTAATGTGTGACCGTGCATATAATACCACAGCAAGCTGAACACTGAATCAATGCTTCACTCAGAGCAGACCTGAGAAACATAGTGAGAGCGCCATCTGCTGTGTAACAGTGCAATGTGTTTCCTCTCAAATGCACCATAACTAGGACGCTGTGTGTAAATGATAGTTCTCAAAGGTTTAAGATACAAAAGATACGGTACGATTACTGAGCTCAGTTTGGTTGTAGTTGTGGAAAGCACACTTTTATTCATGTAATGTAATCACAATTCATGGGTTCTTAACTCACACATTTTTAAATGTTGTTTTACATTCAAACTACACTCTATTTCAGAGGTCAACAAACTTTTAAATGTTTATTTTGGGGCTTTTTGTGTCTTTACTTTAGAGATAGGACAGTGGATAGAGTCAGAAATCTGGGAGAGAGAGAGAGAGAGAGAGTAGGGAATGACATGCGGGAAGGAGCCACTGTCAGATTCGAACCTGGGTTGCCCCCTTGGAGGAGTACACATGGGGCGCATGCACCAACCACCGTAAATATACTTTCATATATACTTACTGGAAGCAGCAGTTTCAACTTAATTTTCACACTCAAGCTTTTAAAATAAATAAATAAAAAATTTGTAACAACTTAAACCCTGGATCTCCAAACTGTTTGGCCTTCTGGGTCGGTCTGGTAAAAGTCAGTCTGAAGGTAGGGCACCTTTATCATATCTTACATTTCTATGAGTCATTAACATTTACAGAAAATTTAAATAATCAAAGAGGAAGAATTTAACGAAAGTTGAATGAAAAACAATGATTCTAAAAATGTGTAGAACAGAGTTGCTTTCTCTTACTCTATTCTCACTCTTAGAGAGTCACTAACTCACAGTTTGATACCTTCACAATTTGTCCTGAAGTAGGAATTGAATGCAGCAGGTTCTGATTTTGGTGTCTTTTTTTGTTCGTTTGTTCAATTACTTGACTAGTTTTTATTAAACTCAGGGAAGGATGTAGCCTGGCACCATGAAAAACAAATTGTATCTTTGTATGCCAGTCGGACCAGATTACATAATAAACAACACAAAAAGTGACATGAAGCAGCCGGCAGCTGCACCTAGTTTAAAGTTATTGAGGATGTGATCTCACCACTGCTCCGGCTGTCACACTCCGATCCAACAAAGGCGTGCTGGCATATAAAGGTCAACAGCGCCCTCTGCAGTTTGGGACTGGTAGTGTAGAGCAGGGGACCGAAGGAGGTGGGACTCCACACCTGAAGCTGGTAGGAGTGAGCCGTCAGAACGTCACACACACCCAGAAAAGCCTTACGCAGAAAGAAAAGGTGAAGTTAGAGAGGGAAGAAGACAGAGATGATGATGCTGTCATCTGTTAACAATAAGTGTTACCTGCTGTCGCACACTGGGGTCAGAGTGAGACAGGCAGTGATGACTCCTCTCACAGAAAAGACGCAGCTGCATTCTCTGGGCCACGGCTTTATCCTGAACCACACAAACAAACAGACAAACAGCACATCAGCGTTCAGCACACCAAATAAATACAGAAATGATGCAGCAATATGACTGAAAATGTGTAAATTACACCAAGGTATAACCTCTGTAGAGGGGATCAGGAGAAAAAAAACAGTTGAGAAATTCTTATCAAGCACCGTCACCACATGCCAGCTTCTAGATTTCCAGTCCTGCATTAAAACTCTTAAGTTTATAAGTTTATGTTTACAGAACTTTGGATATAATGTCAAAACTGACCACAAATAGTTCTTAGAATCCACGCTGAGCTCTTTAAATGCCTTGTTTGGCTGGACTCGATGTCTTAAAACCAAGAAATATGACTTTATCAACAAACCAGTGAGACTCAGTTCACTGATAAAATGTTCTCTCAACAGACTTAACGATTGATCATCTGATATTTTAGCTCTACCTGTGTCCATGTTAAAGCTCTTGATATGCAGACACTCCGATGTTACTGGTTTTCACTGGTTACTAAGAATAAACTCTTATTCTATTAGTGTGATCAGAGCTGAAACCAATAACTGATCATTTAAAACAGTGAAATCAGTGAGCGAGAATGAGTTTTTCCTTTTTTTTTGCAACACAGTAGTACAAAAAAAACTGCTTTTTCTCCACCGACAAAAAGAAACCACCGCAACACTTATTCTAGCAGTAAATATATTTATCTTCGTTCAAATCCCACCGTGGTGTATTTTATCCGTTTGTATTGCATTTAATAATCATGTTGCCAGATTTTTCTTCCATTTTCACATGTTATAACACTTTTTCCGTCCACCGTTGCACCCTATATTTTCTGTATTATTCCCCAACACAGCTGTTAAAAAAAAAACGTACTATTTTCCATTCTCAAATTCTTTATTTGTGATCATGAAACTTAAAGGCAGCAGCGTATTATTATATCTTTTCTAATAGCTTTCATATTTTTATCTAATTCTATTCAAGCTGTCAGCAGGAGCTCTGCTGTTTTTATATTTCCTTTGTTAAGTCAAATTCCTTGGATGTGTAAATGTACTTGGCAATAAATACCGATTCTGATTCTGGTGAAAGTCTGTCAATAAAATCAGAGAAACTCACTCTGGAGCTGAGCGATTCACCACTCGTGTTGAGAGACCAGATCATTGAGTAACACAGACACTGCAGCACCTCCAGCAGCACCTTCAGAAAAACATAAAGACAATGATGGAGACTCTTTTAGAGCAAAACAGGGGGACGAATAAGTCCAAAGAACTTGAAGGAATTTGATTTCAAAGGTGATAAATAAGTACCTCTGATGGGGGTCCTCTCTCGCTGCCCTCCACTGACAGGAGAGGGGACAGCAGCTCGAACAGGTTCCAACGGGAGAGGTCATGACAGCTGACAGGAAGAGGAATAACCAATAAATCACTCCAATGGTAGAAGATAAGCAGCGTTAATTTCATAGGAGGAAAATCTTACTTGTGAAAAGCTCTGAGTTTCTTCAGTGTCGGTAGAATGTCTCCAGTGTGTTCCTTGTCAGCAGTGAAAGTGTCCGCCTACAACAACGAGACACAGGCAGATAAATATATCCTTATGTCACAAAGGGCTTTTTATTGTTTACATTCAGTTTCACACGAGCAGTTCAAACAAAGCAGTGACGTTGTTTCAGAAAGAGTCGAGGTGTTGCAAAGATAAACACACAAGAGTAGAAAACATAATACAGACAACGGCGGGCTCTGGTCAATTTGCGCCTTAAGCGACATTATGATATTGCGCAGTCTGTATCACTTTAAGAGTATGCCATCGAATCAAACAAGTAGCCTTTAGCTTAACCATGGAGTGCACAATCATGATAAATCAATCAACCCTTCCTTCTCTTAGGAACGATGAGCATTGCATTTCTGTTTTTCCACACGCACCTGAACGCCCCATCATCGTCCCTCTCCTCTCTTCCACCTGTGCCGTGTGTTGGCAGCTCGAAGTGAGCGAGTGAGAGAGTGAGCTGTAAACACAGAAACATGCACTGAACGTAGCTTTACCTTCAGCGCGTCCTGCAGCAGAGCGGTCAGTTTGTCTACCCAGCTCTGGACCAGAGAGTCTCTTCCAGTGTGAGCAGCGGAGCAGCAGGACGTCTCCTCCCCGCACAGACTGAGGTACGTGCGGGCTGCAGCCTCCAGGACAGCGGGGCCTGAGTGACGGTCCAGGACAGCTCCAATCTCTGCCAGCAGGTCTGACACCGCCTGAGGAAAAAACAAGAGGAATGAAGAAGAGATTGAAAATGTGTGGCTACATTACTACTACAGCAAACACAGACTATCTGCAGGATTCAAATATGATTAAGTAGTAACAAGATAACACGGTTAGATCGCTGTAATGGCAACTGGGAACAGTGACCCCCAAATGGAAAAAGAAGTACAGATAATGGATAAATGGGTGGATAACTATAAAATTCATAACTTTGCACAGTGCAGCCTTAAGGCATGAAAAAGGCATCACATGTTGCATTCTTTCTTGTCTGAGGGAATTTGAAGGCCGGTATGCAGACCTGTGTGTTTCCAGCTTTAGGACACTGTGGGATGAAGAACTGAGGAATCTTCATCAGGGAGGCAACGACGTCAGGACTATCTGAGAACTGCACAAACAACAACAACGACACACATCACAAGACCAGATGTTATCGGGACACAATGCCCAGGATCACATCGTGCAGCATAGAGGTCTGAATTTATCTGATTGAGTCTCTGACGTGTGAATACCTTGGACAGTAAGTTGGAAGCACCACGATGAGATGTTCAGTGAGTTTAGTGCAGTCATCAATCTGAATTTTCTTTTCCCTGGCACTCATGACCTGAAATATAAAGAACACAAACATAGACCGACTTATCAGAAACTCAAGAACTGTATTGAAGTATTTACTTTTCGAGGCACGCTCTACAGAGTATCTACTCCCCTTTATCTCAGAGGCAAACATAATACTATTTTCCACTACAATAAGTACAGTACTAGCTTTTGTTACTTTTCAGATTCCTCACTTTAAAAAGCTAAATGCAGCTGTAGCGTCATGATTGACAGCTCTGATGAAAACTGTGGAACTCCTGCAGAAATCTTTACCTGATTGTCAGAGCAGAGGAGGGAATGAGGAGAGGAAACACCCCAACACATCTCTACAATACCCAGGTGGTTTTCAATTCAACTATTTCTTGAAGATCAAAGATGTAAAATAGTTCACAAACAGTACTAAAGAATGCACATTTGGGAAACTCTTATTTTGTACTAAATAAATAATCCCAAGATCCCCCAGGTTCATTTTATGACCATTCAAATTAAGGACCCATCCCCTGGACTCGCAGCCTTTAGAAGCAACTTGGGTTAAGGACCCATCGGACTTGTGGCTGCAGGAGCTGGGGATCGAGACAACCAGCTCAACCAACTGAGCCACAGACTTTTGATAACCTTTAAGAGCTTTTTTTTTATCATGTTATTGGTACTTTTACTGCTGTTAAGGTGATTTAGCGACAAAAATAAATGAGATGGATCCCCCTCTGACCTTCTTGGCTCCACTCCTTCCTGCCAGCACTGGTCCCTCCGCGGCCTGACGCACCGACGCAACCAAGATCTCCACAAGCACAGCTTTTTCTTCATGAGTGAGACCTACACCCACATACAGAGACACAACAAAAAACAACTTGATAAACTCAACAATCGACATAAAAATGATTTAAGAATGTAGAAATGAAAGTACGCTCTTTATCGCTGAAAACATTGCAGTTGAAGTTTCTGTGAGGAGCTTTCATTTTGTTCTGATTTTGGCGACACCCTAGACTAAAATCTTTGATTTTCTAGTCTGGTACATATTGAACATGCCATACATGTGATGTGTTCCCAAAAGAAAAACCATCTTCCTTCATCTTTTTAGCTGGCTAACATAATGCTCACTGTGATCATTCGCAGGGGAAATGAAAGTAAAGGCTCGTTCTGCTTCACTAATGATTCTGATTCTGATGACATTATTCTCTGACAGTGGACATGAGTCAATGTTCTAGCTGATGGTTTGATTTTCTTTGAGGCTGTTCCCAGTGTAGATTCACAGTTCACTTTAAAGTCACACATTAACAGTTACCCTGACGGTGTGAGGGAGGGTCCTGCAGCAGTAAAGATGTGAGAGCAGGCCAGTCCTTCAGCAGAGCTCCTCCACAGTCCCACAGACTGTCCACCAGGTACACCACATGCTTGTGCAGCTGGAAGTGGACATAGGTACGCATACACGTTAGTCCACAATGTCGTGGAAAACAACATACTTAAACCCAACTGCATTGAATCCTTCTGTGAATTTTCACCTGAGACTCCTTGAAGAACTGCAGCAGGGCCTTCAGCGTGGAGAATATGTCTTGTTTTTGTGCCTCATCGTCATTTATTTCATCCTGAGTATCAGATGCAGGGGCTGCCGTGTTGAGAAGCCTGTCAGAGACCAACGAATAAATACAGTCAAACTCTCCCCTTTTTAATCTAGTGTGGTTTAAAAAAAAAAAAGTGATGGAGGTCAATGCACCTTGAGTAGAGCAGCTCCCCTGCAGTCACAGCTAGAGGGCGCTGTGACGAGTAAACAAACTGGAGCAGCTGTTTGTAGTCCTCCGGGCTCAGAACATCGTCAGAGGTTCTGAGGAGTCGAAGTGGATTGATGCAAAGAAAAGCAGCAGAAAAAAAAAAAAGATTGACTAATTGGAGGATGATGTGAAAATGCTTTTATTGGTTGATGGTGCTTTCATCTTTCATGCACCTTTCATGTTTTTAACATCGAGCTGTTTATTGTTGTTATTTTGTCATTTTATAACACTGCACTCTAACTTTTTAATAGCTTTTTAAAATCAGTTTTAATTGCTTCCTTATCATGTTTTTTAAAGGTTTTTTGGGGGGTTTCGGTGCTTTATTTGAGAGATGGGACAGGAAAGGATCCTCCGGTCGAGTTTTGAACCCAGGCGGTCCGCTTCGAGGACTGTAGCATTTGTAAATGGTTTGGCGCACTAACCACTCGGCTACCAGCGACCCATAATGTGTTCTTTTTGTCCGTTCTCATGTTTTTCATGTCTTGTGTGAATCACTTTAAATTGCCCTGTTGCTGAAATGTGCTCTATAAATAAAGCTGCCTCGCCTTCATGCTAACCACCGTCTCCTGCCCAGTGATTAAAGGTGAAAGCCTTTCTGGCTAGCTTGGGCACGCTTGAAGAAAAGTTATTAATGTGTAAAGTTTCATATACACATGTTTAAATAAACTGCAAACAGGCAACTCACTTAGAGATGATCAGTAGTAGTTTCATGGTCTGCACTGCCACTTCGTTGTCCTTATCCAGGGTCATGGAGATCATCCGGTCCTGGAACAACACAGGGAACATCAGGCAGGAACGCACACACTCTAAAAACTTTCCTTCAGCTATGAAATTGTTGTTTGGTTCTGTTTTTCTGCACTCATCCACCTTCTCTCCAGCTTAAAAACCTTTAAAACAGCCTAACCCACATTGACATATCCTCACCCTTTACGTTACAAATAATTAGATGTAATATTTTGCATTTTTTTCTGTGACAGGAGCTGCATACTACAGCTGGAAACAATGTTATCAGAGTGGTGGAAGTGAACCAAATCAGAGGTGTTGAAAACCACACAAATGAACAATCAGCTGAAACTTACTTTAAAGCTCTGTAAAGGTCATCTCTTTCACAGCAGTGTTACAAAAGCATACATCTCTTAATTAAGGCATCTTTAAGTCCACTGATGTATCTGGGAGTTGAGTTGTTTACCTTGAAGCGGCTGGTGAACAGGTCAAGTTTAGGGTGCAGGACTGGATCTCCATACAAACCCTGAAGACCTAACACACACTTGAGACGCACATCTGGTACCTGATCAAAGAAAAGCATGTTAGTGCAAAGACGGGGTGTAAAAACTGTTTTCTTTATTGCATCAGATGACATGTTTACCTTGTCGTGCAGCATCCAGCCCATGTATTTGAGGTAGCTATCATTGAGAAACGAAGAGCTGTAGAGCTTCATCCACAGACCCAACTCTTCCAGACAGATCGAACGGATTTCAGGAAGCACGTCTCTGCTCAGGTACACAAAAACAATTCAGCTCAAATACACGCTGAAAGCTCTGCTGACACTAGAAGAGTCAGGGAAACACTTACCGATGTCTTTTCAGAAAAACTCCTTTGAAAATGATGTCCATCATGCTCTCGATCTCCGTCCTTTTCTCCTGCAGCTGGGAGAGCAAAAGGAAACACACAAAGAAGCCAAACAATTAGTTCTACTCATCACTGGGATAATAATCCTATATTTTCAGTTGGACACTGGTCTCACCTCTGTGATCTTCTTCTGTATTCTCTCCTGTTGCAGCGTGCTCTTCTGTCTCAGCGTCTTTGTTTTCTGCACCTGAAACAGCTTCTGACTGTTCTCGATGCCGACGCTCAGACTCAGAGCGACGCTCGCCAGAGAGCTCAGCAACTTCACCGCTTATCACGGAACAAAAACAAATACTATAGATCAGTAAAGTGAACGGGCTTATGTATCTGTCTGTGTCTGCTTTTAATTCCTCACCCGCTAGTGTGCAGGTGTGCCTGAATGCACGTACGAACGAGTCGGAGAGCTCGGTGAGCAATGAGATGATGGCGTTCATCAGGTAACAGTCAAATATGACGCTGTGCTGACACTGAGCCACAAGCACCGATATGAAGTCACAGAACTCGGAGTGAAACCAGCGTCCATACGGCCCTGCTTGTGTCAGAGGATACTCCACGCTATCCTGTAGCAGAGAGAAGAAAGAAGGAGAAAAAACAGAGTACACCAACTTTAAAGGAAAGCAACAACCTAAAGGGTAAAGCAGCAAGTCCAATTATTTGTTGGAGGTTCGGTGCCTTTGCTCAAGGGATCATTTGCAGTACTCGGGATGTGCCCTGGCACCTCTCCAGCTACCAGACCAAATTCCATATTATGATCGGCACCTGGACTCGTACTGGTGACCCTCAGGTTCTCTACAGACTGGGCTACTGCCGCATCTAGTGTAGGTACCACACGGCTACATTTCTTAAGCAGTGTCCTGGGCCACATTGAATAAACAACTACTTCACAAATATACTCTGCATAAGTGTATCCATTCTATGTCTACTGCTCCGAATAAAGTACAAAACACAATGACAAACCACAAAAATAGACTAAACGGATTCTTAAAGGATGGTGTCTGATAATCATTTGGGCTCCCGGTTAAGAACACAAACAGAAATAACGTACTACGTTTGCATATGAGGTGAGAAAAAAAATCAAAAGTGGTAACTCAAGAAGCACGTGCAGACATTTTCTAATCGCAGGTGAGCACTGCTGTACCTGAGGTTAAGTACACTTTTAATGACATCGCCCTGAAAGCATGTGAATGCCAGCTGTAGACGGCGCTTTAAACAGGGTGTTCCTGTAAAACAGGATCCGTGCTCACTGAAACAAACCTGGATAAATAAAGGTAGGGAAGCAAAAGGTTGAGTGCACCAGAGCTTAATTTTCTTCTTTTGTTTACGTTCTTTGTCTTTCACTTTGTGAGTCTGAATTCAAAGCATTAAATAGATGTACTTTATGTCATCATAGACCACATCCTGTTTTCAAAACTGAAGAACAGCTTTAACCCCAATGACGACCACAACAACATGTTTGTCAGCTCATTAAAGTTACTGGAGTTTGACCTCTTAGACATCTTGTATGTGTGCGGGGTTTAGATGTGCAGGAAGAATTATACTCTGCTTCTGCAAATACTCAATGGAAGCATAAATCTAGTTTTGCTTGTATGTACACTACTTTAGTTCCCACAATGCAATGTGTTTGCTCCACACAGTTTGAATCAACAGTGTCCCTGTATCTAAGATTCCTAATCTCTTCCCGATCAAGTAATATGAGGGATTGTCAGGTAAATAGTGTCCAAATAAAAACGATTATATTGACTCGTATTATATATATTAAGGCTATATACATTGTTTGGTTAATTACTGTTGATCATAGGTGAAAAATCTGATTTAATAATGATCCATAAGGCACTGACTGTATCCATGGGCCAGGTGACGGTGAGGATCCAGGGAAAGGCCAGAAACTTCTTATACTGCAGACCAGAGACCTGAACACACACACAGTCACACAGATTCAGTTCAGAGAGCTGAAACTGACGCAACAATGAAGGAAAAGGAAGAAAACTCAGACTGTACCTCATCCAGCTCCTCCACCATCTTACTCATGACGTCACTGTCCTCTTTGTTCTGACACATCTCAGCTGTGACCAGACCTGAGAGAGACACGGGGAAGGTAAAGTAGACCCAGTATGTGCAGTGTTTTTCATTCATGTTTGTGTATGTGTTTGTGCGTTTGTGCTTGTGAATACATCTACTTGCCTTTGCAGCCACAGCACTGGATGAAGAAGCTGATTAGATCGAGGAGAGGTGAGTGTCTGTCGGTCACATAAGCCTCGATCCAATCATCAATCACGACCTGCTCAGACATCACAGAGAACAGATTGAGGTTCTGCAGGTGACACTAATCATTTCTTATATCTGAAACTGGACATATTACCCTTCCAAAACCAGAATACATATCACATTGTACCTGCATGGCGCCCCTGCCCATGGTGACCACCTCAAACAGGGTGACGGCCTCCACATGTTTCTGTTTCCTGCCTCTTGCTTTGCTGACACTGCCGCGGCCGGCTTTGGCATTCTTGCTCTTAACATTCTCTGAGGCCGTGTGCGCTTTTCTCCTTCGCTTCTGTGAGGTTTTGATAATGTGACACAGACACAAATTCATGTACAAATAAGTTCAAACAATGCGTGCTGCATCCTAAACGGGCAAAATCAATGACACTTTTTGCATTAAAGTCCAAATACGAGTTAGTCAGGCAAGAGACATTTTCACTCCTCTTATAACGATTAGCTTTTAACAAACGATTTAAGCAGAAGACTTTGCTTTATTAATGAGGAAAAATCATGACATACTTTTACATTTGGAAAAAAAAAATACAACTGCAATAAATTAGGCTCAACAAGTCTGCATATCTTTTGGTTTCAGGAGTTGGCACAGTTGACCTCTTGTTACACAGAAAAAGTGGCAGACAAACTGTAATAAACTTCTGTTTTAGATCTTTTTTTTCCCCTACATTTTATTTGAATAATTTAATAGTGATATAACTGATAGTAATCCCAGTCATTTCCACCTCTTCTTTACAAACTTTATCGTAGCATATTCTCTTACAAAAAGCTCAATTGTGATTATTACGCACGCAACATCACCAAGGAAGCCTCCTATTTATGTGCATTACTGTACGCATACTTTCTTCTACTTCTACTCGACCGATTCTGGCGGTAACCCGGCATGCATGCGTATCAGTGCATCAGTATAAAAACACCTTACACTCCTTCGTCTGTTCTCATTTCCAGAGTCCTCCCCTGAATGATTGACAGCTCCAGAGGAGTTTGCCCCACCCCGAGAGTTCTTCCTGTAAAAGTGAAATAAATCATTCAGTGAGATAACGTTTTGATTGTGAATTCAATGAGAACGTGAAGATGCTTACTTTTGCTCTGAGGACCTGGATGCAGCTGCTGCAGCTGTGGGCTCAGGTATCATCTCCTTCCTGATGTCTTTACACACACACACACACACACACACACAACACTCAGGTGTGTGCCTGCATCTGGAGAGATATTCAGACAACCATAATTATGATTACTTAGGACAATTTGAATTCCATAAAGAAAAGAGGTTACCATATTCATAAATGTATGGCTAATAATGAACCTGGGGCAATATCCACTTTTGCAGAAAAAACACACTTCAAGTCATTTAATGTAGGACAGGTAGGACAGGTAGGAATTTAAAGGGTTGTTTAAGGACAGAGAGAGAGGGAGAGAGAGAGAGAGAGAGAGAGAGAGAGAGAGGAGATGCTTGAAAAGGTTAAATGTAACATTCTGCTTGTTTTTGACTGTTATTAAGCACAAATGCATGCAGAGATAAAAAAAAAAAAAAAAAAACATCCGACATTTCCTTATAAAGTCCAGTGTTGTTGTGTTCACTGTAACAAAGATTAAAGCTGACTGACAGACAGCTCGGCCGCTGCAAAACTTTTCAAACTCACCGTCTTCACCTGTTTATGATCCTGCTTCGGTATCCATTGATGTATCTCCTTTAAACCGAAATGTTGTCACATTCATAAAAATGAAACATTAACCCGAGTATCCTCCTTCTTTTCCCCACAGCTCTCATAGTCAAGATTGAGCAGACAGCCTAACCCGCGCTGATTGGCTGCTGCTCCAAAACAAACGTAGATGATTTGTGAGTCTGATACGTCACTCACTGTTTAGTCCCTCCTCCCGCGGGGTTTTGACAGACTACAGAGTGTCCGGTTTTGCTTTCTGTACACCACAGCTCTGAAAACATCTGTTGAAGACAAGCCTTTAGTCGTCTGAGACTTCGGCTAGTCTGCATATATGAATAATAACAAAGTGTTGTTTTTATTCAGGACAGAAAAACAACAATAGCACACGTGATATTGCGCCTTTCCCGCTGTTTTTGTGTGTGTGTGTGTGTGTGTGTGTGTGTGTGGTTAAAGAGGCTTTGTCTGTGTCTTCCTCACATTTTAAATGACCACGCCAGTATAATTCAGAAGGGAGCTGTGGTGGCATTTTCTGGAAATACACTACTTAAATGGAACAGCAGGGGGCGCCAGTCACTCATCATGAAATCAGAATCATAATATTGCAAAGTAGGTTTATACTTATGCATGCAACAAACTTAAAAAATACTTAAAAGAAAAACAGAAGGAAAGTAAGAAATAATGTGCTTTGAGTAAGATTAACAGAGAAGCGATGAAAAATATATGAAATATGTACAACGTCTATAATTTTTATGAGGTTTATTCCTGCATAAGATAACTTGTATGGCCCGTCTGAACTGAGGTCATACACACACACACACACACACACTGATACCCGGGAGAAAGGAAACACATTTCTCTATTGCATTCAATTTTATTATTTCACTTTAGGTATAAAAAAAGCTCATAACAGTTGTTAGAACAGTAGTGCACGGAGGGATTTGCAACTGTACGTTCATTTCCATATAACCGACTCACTATAGCGACTAATATTCATCACATCCATAAGGGGAATATTAAAACCTGCAGGATTTGTAAATAAAGTAGGTTCTTCAATCCAACCATCGATCGGTTTATATACTTTGTAGCACCTTGTCACAGTCATAACATGTTCTGTTTATGTAGAAGCAGGCGACTCCTGCAGAAAACCTAGTGCATCCAAACGACATTCAGTGGCGTTTTTTTCTCCAGAGTCGGTCAGGAGAGGAACTGAGACACAAAAGTCACGGCCTGGTGAAGGTCGTCTGTCAGCTCCTCGGGAAGCGACAACACCATAGATGTTAATTTTTGAGTTATTTCTAATATCCTGCAAGGAGAAGAGCACATGGTTGTTACAGCGGCGTCGGTTATCATCTCTGCAAAACTTGACATTTGAGTTTTAACTCACCAGTTGATGTAATGAGCCGCCAGCTGAGGTTCATGTCTGGAGTCTTCTTCTACCACGAGGCATTGTTTCATCTGTTTGAAGTTGGCCTCAATGTCTTTCTTTATGTCAGAGAAAGCCTGAATCCCTCTGAAAGAGCTGACGACTTGCTGCAAAAATAAGAGACATTTCAAACGCACAAAGCTGATAGTGGAATTTAAAAAAAAATAGAGGTTTATTAAATTAAGAAAAAAGTCTCAAAATGATTGTGTTGTGATCTGTTCTCCTTACATATATGACAGAGAGCTGGTGGGCGATGTATTTGTGACTTCCAAGGTGTCTGATATCTTCTTCCAGCTGTTGACTCAGCACCAGGAGCTGGTTCAGTTTGGCAATGTGGAAAAAATATTCTGCAAAAAAGTATCAGCTTATTATTATTATAATTTTTGTTTCTTTATTTGTGGAAAAAAATGCAGTTTCAATAATGAGAAAACACTTAAATACAAGTTCTAAACAAGTTCTTAAATTCTAATTTAAACACAAAACAGGATATTAAAATATGCACAATTATTAGAAACATGCAGGTTCTTACCAGTTATGCAGTTTCATTATTAATGCCTTGAACTGAACGGCAGTTGGCACAAAAGGCTTTCTAAAGCCATGCATGATTCGCCATGCTTAAACAAATGAAAATAAACGTTGTTTTTTCTTAGTAAAGTGTTATTTCCCTCTTAGATTGATCTCTTACCGTCCATTGGCGGCCTCTCTAACATGTCCACTGGGCTTCCCTGAATTAGGAAAACCTCCACTCGAGGAAACATTACTGACAGACCCATCATGTCCAGGTAGTCCTGAAAAAAAAACAGGCACGTAAAGAGGATCGTCTGGTGTTTCATGATGTAATGTAATAAGTCAGGTTCCTGTGGTATCTGAAAAGTACTGTTGGTTGTGGTACCTCCAGCTGGGGCATAGGCTTTGGTAGGTGTTCAAGGCACTGCAGCATCTGGTCAAGAATCTCTGAGCCTTCAAGGAAAGAGCACAAACCAAAGTTAAATTCATGACAGCTGTACAAATTAAAATGATTTGCATCACTGACCTTGAGCTTGGAAAGTGTCCGACTCCTCTGGGCTGCAGCCTTGGCCTAACTGCTCCTGGAACTGCAACATACAAACAATGAATGAAGTCACAGAATAAAGAAGAAGCATGTAAACAGAATAATGTAAAATGCTTATTATCAGAAAGAGAGACTGCACATTGGACCTCAAAGCTGTTGCTGCCATCATTTTTTTTTTTTTTTGAAAGGTATCATGTTTGAGCCACCAATTGCTTTTCAGATTTAATGCTGCTTTCGTGTGCTGTTGTAAACGTCAGTGAGACACTCTGGGAGCGACTGATTTGAAAACGGTAAATGGACTTGAACTTGTATGGCAACTTTACACTACAGTAGCTACATGTCAAATTCACACATTCACACATTCACACACTGATGGTAGAGGCTGCTTTGTAAGGGGCCAAACTGCCGCTCACAACTATTCTATTCATGCTTCCACACAGCAATTTGGTGTCAGTGACTTTAGCTTAGTTTTATCTTGATATTATGACTGAAACTGATAAAAAAATACAAAAAAATAAGAAAAAAGTGGTGGTAAAAGTGAGCCTTGTCAGCATGTTAGGTCCATGTGAGTCTACCTGCTGCATCTGTGCCCTGATGAGGAGGTCCAGCTGCCCACACAGACACAACATCTCCAGGCCCACCTGCTCTGGACTCAGCTGGACCGGCATCAGAGGTCTCTTCACCTGTAGCTCCACTGACCACACAGCAACCAAATCAGTCTCGCACACCCCCCCCCTCTCCTTTTCCTGCCTTCACCTCTTCACCAACACACATCACAGGGGAACCACTGCAGGCTATAAAAGGGACGTGCATTATGTCATCTAAAGCATCTATACAGATCCAGGAAGGAAGAGGAGACACTTAGAGGGACAGAAGGGGAGTGGTCAGAGACAGTTTCTGCAGGGTGTAGGTAGCCTACTCCTCGCAAGACGCAATATCATTCAAACAGAAGAAAAATATAAACAAAAAAGCTACCACAGCCTAAAAAAAAAAAAAAAGACACTGATGCTGGGACTTACCTTTAAAAGCCTCATGGTAAACGCAAGGCATGCAGAGCGGCTCTGTGATGCTTACTGCCATATCTGATTGATTATCACACTGTTTTCCTCAATCTGTATCGCTAATAAAAGCCACATAAGGCAAGTGGAAGCGAAATAAAATAGCCTGGTTGAGACTATTTTACATCTAAATGTATTTTTAAGGCATTTGGTCGGGACTGTCTTTCGCAAGTGGTGCGTTTGAGTGTCGGTCGTTCATGAAGGCTGAACACAAAGCCGATATTCATCCGGAATTAGTCGTTTCCATGCAGGTGACGAACTTCACACGTAGCAGCAACGCGGATAAAACATCCCATTACCCCGGTGGATCCATAAAGCTGGTGAGAGATTGATGGATAAAATAAAGCAATGCCCACGCCCTGTGCAACCACAGCCGTACAGTCAGTCTGCGATTTGCAGTTTTGAACGCCCCCCCCCCCCTCCCTCCACATTCACACACTGAGCGCCTTACTGAATGATGTCATGATTTAGGGATGAAGATCTCAGCATCACCACTTGGTGAGGATGCAGACTTCGATTATATGCTGTCTATTAACAAACAAACACCTATTGTTAAGTAAACACGTAGGCTTTATTCATTCAAGTAGCCTATAACGTTTCACAGTGGAATTTACAGGTTTTGTTTCTTTACCCAGGTATTATTATCTTATCGAGGACATATTATAGCCTAGTTCTTACCCCAATTTTTTTCTAGGGTTTGAATCTATGTGTCATTCTGGTATTGATAGCCACATGAGCCATAGGGTGCTGCTCTAAGGGAACTCTTATGTGCAGTTTTTAAATGAAGAAAGTCCTATATCATTGTAAAATCAATGCTGTATCTGGTTATGTTTAACATGATTATCTGATAACATTATGTGTCACAATTAAAATATAATGTTAGTAGCCTAATAACAAATTGTTGTATTTGTTATAGGCTACAAACAGTATTGTCCCCCAAAGACTGTCAGAGCAAGACAGCTGGGAATGTGCATCTGAAGAGACAATAAGTAACAAAGGCAAGGACATATTTCATAATTTGTTATGTCACATTTTCATTTAGCAGACGCTTTTTGTCCAAAGTGACATAAATCTGACAACACAGACGAGTAGCCTAACACAAGCAAGGATCTAGACAGGAGGAAACAACATTAGTGCATACAAATAGCCTGAAATCAGATAGGGCCCAGGAGCTGACAAGCAGTGCACAGATGCCCAGGGTGTATAGAAGTATTTCTTATCAACTGCTTCATCCCCATCATCATCATCATCACTAGCATCAATATCATTAAGAGCGTATGTGTTTATAAATGACAGAAAGCGGAATGACCGGAAGAGCTGGGTGAACCTATCTTCGCATTGCAATGGTATGAGAAACCATGGGAACAGATGAGATTACTATACCAAGGGAGTTTGAGAAAAGAAGGGGGAACAAGCACTGACCCTTGAGGAACTTCCGTGGATAAGCTGTGAAGCTTCCAGTGGACACTTCTCCCTTCTAAGAGTCTCTAAAATATCATCCTGCAACCTGGTAGGGTAGGGAATAAACCACTGGAGTGCTGATCCGGAGATACCAAGCTCAAAGAGGGTGGAGGGGATTTGGAAGTGCACTGTGTAATAGGCAGCAGCATTAGAGTTGAGGATCGACCAGTAGCTCCAAACGCAGTGATTCCGTGAGGTCAGACGTTTTTCTTAAACAGGACTCCAGAGAGGGGACTCAAGTATTTAACATGAAAAGTAGACGTGAAACCAACCTGTGTTGGGTGGGAGAAAGCCAGAAAATTCTAGCTCCACACTGTAAGGGTTTGTATCCTGAACCCACTAACTATGAGGCAGCAATGCTAACCATTCCACTAGGGTTGCACACTGGGGTGCTTGCCTTTATATAGTCTCCTTTTCAGCTCATCAAGGTAGCCTATAGTTCAAAATCATGATCCAATCTGTAGGGGAAGAAAGCCAGAACACTCGTGGGAATGACCAAACAATGGCTGGTTGCGATGCCAGGCCACAACTCAGTGCTACAGTCAGTGCTCTCATAAGAAAGCTCGGCAGCATCTGGTAGAAGCTGAACGATTTGGTAGGCCTACACCGAGACCTACCACAGCTACCATGGTATATCCCCATCCTTGTGGGTTTTTCCCCGGGTCGCTCCGGTTTATCCCACACATCCAATTTGAAAAAAATTAAATATTATTAATTAAATATTAAGAACTGGTTCAGTCAAGTTATTAAAGAATCCTGTTGATTGAAATACTGATTTTTTTTTGCTGAGAATATCTGAAATGTGTTTTTTACAAAAAAGATTTCAATTTAAAATACAACTTGCAGCTTTTGTGCAACCTACCTAACCTGATATATCTGATATTGAATACAGGTTTGACTTTAATCACGCTTAATGTTTTCCAGGAAAGAAAGAGGTGTGTAAGAAGAACTAAAATAAACACTTAATAATATTTTTTTTTTTTCTGTCTGTCTGTCTGCCTGTTGTTCTGTCTTTCAGGACAAAAAGCTGGGAAAGAAGACGGTTTGAGACTCTCTGAATCCAGTGTAAAATGAAAACGCTCACTTAGGTCAGGACCACAGAGGAAGACATGCACAGTAAGACACTCAGGTGTGTGTGTGTGTGTGTGTGTGTGTGTGTGTGTGTGTGTGTGTGTGTGTGAGAGAGAGAGAGAGAGAGAGAGAGAATCTGGGAGTAATTCATGCCCGGTCTCATTTTGGACTCATTACACTTAGAGCCATTGAACAGGCGCTCATGGGACATCTTGACATTCAAATGTGAAGCTTAGTTGCCATCTTTGATTAATGTACCCGTCAGAGCAGGAACCTGCACGGACCTCATGCAAGACTTAAAACCAAAAACTCATTGTCTGAAGTTGAATGATTATTCTCTGACCTGTCCTGTCTCATTAATACCCACAAAGAAGCAGCCATTAGCAGGGATCAAAGTACAGCCTAATGAGTGGCGTCAGTCAGACAAATTTGCTCTATTCAAAGACGTCTGGTGAAAGAAGTTTCAAAGCAGCTAAGTACATGTCTGTGTATTTTCCAACTCTTTTAAAGCATGAATTAGTGTTCCCACCCATTAAAGACACAGATTGAAACGACCACATTGGCTCGTCCATGATCAAAAGAAACATGATATTACATAATGGGAACCCTTTAATTACTGAGCTCAGGCCCAACGCTCACTCTTACCTAAACATGGAGCAAAGACACTGTGTGGTTGTTTACCAACATCTTTAAACAGGTAAAAAAAAAAAGTTTTTTACCCACACATCAAGTTTTACACATGGTTACCCTTAAGGATTTTAATCATTTTCTCTTTGGCTTCTCACAGGGATCATATAAGTGACATTTTTAATAATCTAGATTTGCTTATTTACACAGATAAGCAGTGGTTGAGTCACATAACTCTTCAAAATGCTGATATTGTATTATATTTCCCACCATTGTGTGGTGTTCAGATGCATTATGCATCAGTTAAATTCGATGCCTTTATATTAAACACAAGTGGCACTGCTTATGTGTAGTTCTACAGTGTGTTGTTTGAATAGAGTAAAGTACCTGCAACATTTCCAATGAAAAACGGTAAGTATGATAACGAGGCAACCAGTTTTCAACAGGTTATTGAAAACTAAGCACATCAGAAGAAACACATCTGCTCACTGTCTTCTGAAAGAGTGCAATAGTCTTTTTTTTTTTTAATTAAAAATCTTTTTACCGAGACGTACATTTTGAGTTTGAGGGTGATGGTTTCATGCATTCGGATTCAGCGGCTGCTTGCGTGTGGCAGAGGCTGTCGTTGGAGGTGGTGGCTGTTGATGTTGAGCAGAGGTTGGAGCTGGAAGCATTGGCTGCAGTGATCTTTCATATTCTGGTGATGGGAGTTAGAGGGGGGATGGGTTCTGGCAACGCCTCTTGGTGAAGGCAGCTGCTGAATGTTGCTGGAGTGAGCATCTCAGTGGAAGTTTCAGCAGGTTGCTTGCAGAGGTTTTTGTTGGATTCGAGGCAGCCATCCTTTATATTGATTAAGGTGGAGGTAGATGAAGATTTAATGTGAAGACCTCTGTAGACTGTTGGCCGAAGCTTCAGATGGAGATAGGTGTCGCAGTGGCTACAGATGTCGATGGAGGTTGTTGGTGTTATTAAACAGAGGTCGGGGAAGTTGTCGGTGGTGGCCCAGAATGCAGCTATCGGCCGCAAGCTGCTTTGAAAGTTGCAGATTGTTGTGAAGTGGTGAAAGCTAATGGATGCTGTCAGAGATGCAGTTTGAGGATGCAGCTGCTTGGGTTTGGCAGAGGTTTGAGCTGGTGGTGTGCGCTGCAGCTGTCGGCCACAAAATGCAGGTTTACTGCAAATGTAGATTGCTGGCAGAGGTGGGCCTGCAGGATTTTTTTTTGGCAGAGGCTATAATTGGAGCCAGCAGGTCATTTTGGTTGCTGGCAAAGTGTTGGAGGTAGCTGTCCTTTATATCATGCAGGTGAGACTGATTGTTTTAATCCATGGCTGCAGGTGGAGGCAGTACTTTATATTGTGCAGGTGGAGGTTGAGATGGTGGTGCAGGATGTTTTTTTTTGTTGTTTTTTTTCCAATGGCTACAGGTATCCCAAGCACAGGTGGCTACACAATGGCTACAGGTAGCCCAAGCACCTAACATTGCTTGTGGAGGCTGCAGCTGAGGGCGGTGACTGTTTTTCTTTGGCAGAGGTCTGACTTGGAGGAACAAGCAGCAGGTTAACGCCAGGCTCTTGTTGGAGGAAGTGGTGACAAACAAGCTGCAGTTGGAGGCTGCTGCATTTTGCTGGCAGAAGCTTGAGTTTGAGGAATTGATGGCAGCTTATTCTCATATTGTGCAGGTAGAGGTGGAGGATGATATCTTTTGGCAGAGGCTGCAAGTGGAGGCAGTAGCTGAAGGTTGCTTGCTGAGGTTGAATGTGGTGCTGTGGCCCTGTCGCTGTCAATCACAATTTGAATGTTCACGTTGCTTGTGTGGAGGTTTAATGTGATTATTTCTGGCAAAGGATGTAAATGAAGTCATACTGCAGCTTTCAACCAAAAACTGCAGATGGGAGCAGCGATTTGGCCTTGAGCGTCTGTCCCTCGTATGATCTGGATGTTGATCAGTGGAAACTTTTCCCAACAACAGCATGTCTGGATGAAGACTGAGGTGAACATGCTGTGGCATCCACTTTAGCCAGAGCTCAAAGACTCAGTCTATGAGCTGACTCCACACAAGTACTTTCAGCTTCATCCATTTCTGGACAAACTGAGGAACAACTACGTGTTGCCCTGTCTTCATTGTTGTTCTAACCCCCAGGTAGCTTCCTCAGGCATTTCAGACAGGCCTATGAGTATCTGAATAACAGAGTGTAAACCCAAATTTTAAGTATACATTTTTTTTTTTAAATAATGTGAAGCT